AGAAAGTAAAGATGAAGCAAACACCAAGAAAAACTGGGGAGCGAGTTACCCGCAACCAAGGACATGCAGTATTATTAAATGATTTGAGTCAACTGAAGTCACCACAGAAAAGTTAAGAAGCACAAGATCAACAAAAGGGAAAATAGAGGCTGAATAAATAGAACCACAAGAAGAACCTACAGAAACTGTGACTCCATCCTTAAGAAGCTCAAAGCGGAAGGTTGTTTCTGGTAACATTATGGAGGTACCAAAAAATAGAAAAGCGGCTTGGCAATATGATGTACTTGGTGAAAGGCGAAAAATTCACGTGCAGAAGGCACATTAACCAGATCAGACGTGGTTGACAGCAGTCCCACGGAAGAAACGCTGATGGAGGTGATTTTTCGATACGTTTGATCTAACAACACCTGCAACAATTTTACCTGAGGTACGCTAATCCAGGAGAAAAAGAAAGGCAATTGATCATTTAAAAGTGGATCCAAAACGTAGGAGATATGCTACGATGTTGCTTAAAAAAATGACGTTTTTTTTTTGGTTTTTCTTCATATATCCTATAAAAAATAAAGAAAACTGTTTACTCCTACGGAGTAAAGTTTTAGGAGGGGGGTGCTATAGTGGAACACACCTATTCTATAGTTAATAGACTCTCCCACCTATATTAAGTAGGAGTAGTAAGAGTAACGAGCCAGTTGGTCGGTCAGTGAGTCAATGTCGGACGACAGTTAGTTTAATACGAAAGTATTAGCGACCACAACAAGATTTCTCTGCGTAATACCTATTATATCAAGTTCCTAATGTTTTGTACGTCAAACCTAATTTAGGACCGACTTAGTACAAATACAAGCCTCCACTGGCGAAATAACTCCACAACAGTTTTAGAGTTGAATTTCATTCTGTAGCATGTCTTCAGAAACAGCACTATTAGGCCCCCATTATAAATAAAATATACAGTACTACTTCATGTAATTGAAACAGAGGCTGATAAAGATAATGTTGACCATCCTTCAAAATAAAGTACCTCAGGAGAAACCACAAAGTTAAGTATAGTAGATCATATATATGAGATTAGCAAAGTTTAGTTGTACTTAATGAATAACCTCATTGCAAAGTACAGAAACTAAAGGAGTTAGCACAAAATACCATTTGTCAACCAAATCTGGAAATTAACCAAATTTAGTAATAAAGTAAAAAAGATGTGAATATAATTCAGAAAACCACATGTCTCTCTTGAGACATCTCATGTTAGTGGACTAGAAATCAACTGAAGAATAAATTGTCTGAAACATTCTGAAGGAAAAACAATTGAAAAAATGAGAATAGTCCCCTCACCCCAATAAAAAAAAATGATTCACTTATTTAAAAATCTCAGCCCCATATATGTTCATTTATTGTATAGGAATGGTACATTAAATAAAACTGTTTTTGCCTTAAGTCTTGCTGAATAATATTTTTATAATATTCTTCTTTCTTTGAAATGCATTTTTTTTCTTTTTCACTAGGGAATTTTTGCTTGGTAATCTGATCTACATGGGAAAAGGAAAATAATAATTGATTAAATCAAAGTTGTAAAAAAGAAGCAGGAAATTGTTTTAGCTGTTTTTCCTATTACACTTGCAGTCAATAAGCATTACATATTAACATTTATTAGTAGTTATATTATTGTTAGTCAAAAAAAAACTAGGTGAGACTTGGAATTGTATAAGATAGTAAACTTTGGTTTTTCACCCTTTTAATATAAGTAAAAATTTGTATTTAACATATTAGTATGACTTCTTACATAGGTCAAAGGAAAGATTTTTTGTCTAGAAACCAATAAAAATGGATATTTAATAAAGTCAATTTCATTGTTAGTTCATTTTATACTTTCTTCCCACACTTTAAAAGAAATTATTTTGATTTTAATAAAAGGCTCTGATATTTTATACGTGTAACACGTGTTACAGGAAAATAATTAGAAAACTCCTGAAAAGTGAATATTAATGATGGCTCAAAGTCACATTCTATGGATAAGGCTTCCGCTTACAAATACTGTTTTATTTTTAAAATTACATAAATTAGGTGATATTAAAATTAATACAGTCATTTGCTAACACCAAAGTCAAAGATAATGATTTAAACCAAATCTTGAATGCCACACTTTTTTAACCATAATCACTAAAAGATTTTACTTGTACTTAAAATAAATAGAGAAAAGCTTTTGATTTAAATAATAATTTGATAATGTCTTTAAATGTAATTGCTCTATATGGTTAAACTTTCTGATTATTATCGGATATAGGATGAGATCTGGGTAAGATGAATTTTTCAGGATCTTCATGATTATAGAAACCAATATTTGGTATAACATTTATATTTGACTAAATTATAACTCATTAGAAAATCATCTGGGTGTTCATTGATGATATTGTATGGTTGATTCAAGGTCAATTTTGATCACTAATTTAGAACTTGAATGCATAATTCCAATCTTCACAAAAATTATTTGCATGTAAAATCCTTATCAAGTAGCAATAAATAAATTTTTTTTTATTAATTTCAATGCAAATAATATTTATAACTGTAGCTCACTTGTGTATAACATTCAATTAAGGAAGTAGCAATTTATTTTAGTTGATGGTAGTGGTGCCCATCAATACAGTACTTAAAATTAGTTAATAAAAGATTATTAATTATTATAATAATAATTAATCAGATAAAGAAGATTGAAGTTCAAGAAATAGTTCTTTTTATTTTATATAATTGGTTAATTTAATACCATCCATGGAGAATTGAAGGAAAAAAACTGTATTAGCAACTAGACATGTATTTGTTTAATTCAGCAACATTTGGACCTGAATATTGCTGGATGACATGAAAGCAAAAATAAATTTCAGCACTTTATTTTTTAGTTCTTCTAATAGGGTGGAAATATTTTTAATTTATATGTAAATTATAATAAATGAAAGTTTATTAGTTATTTGTGTTTGCATATAGTTTTAATTAGTTTTGTTAGAAATAATTTATAAGATTCAGAAATAAATAATGTTTATGCTAAAATATCACAATTCAAATCCAGACTTTGATTTGCTTTCAAACAGTAGTTAGGTTTTGACACATTTGGTTTAACAAGTTGGTTTATAAATTGCTAAATTACAGTTCAGTTTTTTGAAATTGAAGTGAAGAACTCTAGTGTCAGGTCCACAAGCTAATGGTAGATGACATTAAAACATGCTTGATCATAGATCACTGGATGGGAACTGCAACCTGTTACATCACCATTATTATTATAGTTACCACTATAATGAACTACAATTGCTGCTACTACTACTACTACTATGATTACATTTAAAAGTTGTAATGCTTTTTTCACTCTATTCCTCAATCTGTTATTGGTATGGATGTCAGAAAAAGTTTAGGTTTAAAATGTTATCAAGTTCATAGTTTCTATAGTTTTACTAATGAAGCCAAAAATATTTTTATGCCATTAGTGAACTAGTAATGTTTTCCCTTTTAATAAGCATATTTTTTTTTGTATTAAGTCAATACAATTAACACTTAATATCATTTTGAACACCTATGTCTACACATTTACTCTAGCTTTCCATTTTTATTTCCAGTTTGTATATTTTTGACACTTAATTAATCTATAAATTAAATTGGATATCATGGATGTTTTCAAGTGTCTAACCTTTTTTCCCTATTTTAGTTTAAATTCTATGTGATGTCATAACTATTTTGGGGGGTAAAATGTCCCATTTCACAATCACTGCACCCAGTCCTTTCATGTATTTCTGAATCTGCTAATGAATTCAATTGATCTATCTGACCCTGATGAGCAGTGTATATACAAAAACAAGACTTTGAACTTTTCATCTGTTGATTGATTACATAGATTTATGGATTATATATAACTATCAAGTGGTTGCACTTTTGGTAAATGTTAATATCATGTTAAGTAGTTAATTGCATTGTTTTTTCTGTATATAGTTTTAGATTGTATATCTAGCTTAGAGTGAACTTTTCAGCTTTTTATTTGGTAATTTAAAGAATTGCAGGGGCAAAAACAGTGAATTTACTTATTTATTAAATTCCCTTTTTTATAGAAAAAAGTATAAAATAAAATATCACATTAATTGACACCTTGACAAAGATTGATTTATTCTGTTGTGCATTCATAATTGACTTTCATAGTTATTTAATAAATATTTATTCTGATTGTTTGCATATACAACTGTTAGGCTTTTCTACTTAGGATCAGAGTGTAGTATCTGTTTAATTCCTAGCCTATTTAAGCCAAAATAAGTTATTCTTTCTGACAAAGACCTACATAATAATATTAAGGGAGGAGGAATTATAAAAAACAAAAGTAAAAAAAAAAATGAATTGAAAGATAGAGAAAAATAAATAGAAAACTTGGTGAAAGGAAAAAAATAAATATAAAGATGGTGCTGAAAAGTTTTTGGCCTGACACATTTCCTAAAATCTATTCTGATGTTTGGTGAATACTTATTTTGTTAAGTGGGTCAGACCAAAAACTTTTCAACATCCCCTCCATATATAGAGAGAAAGAGTGAAAGAATAAATAAAGAAAGACTCAGATTTGTTGATTGAATATTAAAAGGCAAAAAATGAAAAATGTGAATGGCAGGTATAGATGGAACCAAGTAAAAATGGTGGTGCATTAAAATTCTTTATAGAGAAATAGAAAAAAGAAAGATAAGAGGATACAGCAGAAAATACTTGGACATTATTTCATTTTTTTTTTTTTTTTTTAATATTTTATAAGTTCATTCTTAATATTTCAATCATTTATCTAATATTTAGTTATATAAACTCTTTGGCATGCAAACACAAAGAATATAAAGAGACAGCTGTTTTACTGTCTGTGTACATACTATGGTTTAATGTAAATGAGTGAAAACCATAGAGTTGTTTTTTTTTTTTTTCTTTAATAAAAATATTTTTTATCATTTCAATCAATTTTAAATATCTCACTTAAAATGTTTTTTTTTTTTTTCCAGAGTTCTGGCAAAAGTTCTGTGTTAGAAAGTCTTGTTGGTCGAGATTTTCTTCCAAGAGGTTCTGGCATTGTTACACGGAGGCCTCTTGTTTTGCAACTCATACATATTAGTAAGACAGAGATAGAAAACCGAAAACAAGAATCGGGAGGTAAGCTCACTTTCATCATCCTAATCTTTATGAATTTCTTGCTCTTAACATAAAAGATTACTATATAGTATCATATTACATCCCTGTTGGTTACCATAAATTTAAATTATTCAATACTTTTGGACTAATGCATTCAGTACTTTTTGCTATGTCTCTTAAAACCTGTAACTCCTTTTTCAAGAACAAGTTTTCTCTTTACACAAAATTATTTTCTAATGGTGAATAATTGTTTTTGAATCATGAAAAAATTCTTTACTAAGCAAAAATTATTTTAAATACTAATTCTTTTGGATATAATTCTCTTGAATTTTATTTTTTATAGTATTTATGAAAATAGTGCCATTGAAATTATAACAATTTTTTAAGAATACATTTGTATATTTACTGCAAGAATTTGGAAAGAAGTTTGGAGTGAGGGTCTAAATGCAGTTTTATGGATTTTCTTTTATGTTTACCCTCAATTTAAAAGAAAATAATTTCTTGCTTGGCAATAATTTTTTTTTTTTTTTTTTAACCATAAATTTCACTGGTATTTTGTTAATCAAACATCACTCAATATTAATTTCACAAAATATGAATGCTGTTTAATTAGGTACCTCCATGAAAACACTAAGAAATCAGCATATAGTGATGAAAACATGCTCCAAATGTAATGAAAATAGTTTTATCATCAAAATCATTATTTTATTATTAAGAGGAAGGATCAAAGTATTTTTTGATTATTTAATTAAATTTTTTACTCCTTTCTAGGACATTCAAAATTTTGATTCAAAAACTTATTTTTCTTGTGTCACTTGTAATAACTTTTGGTATAGCAAATTTTAGCCTCTTTTTTGCAGCGAGAGACATATTAATTTGGAAATTCTTGCAAAAATCTAAGTGTAAGATTTTAATTAAATTTTCAGTACTTATTCACAAATGAATGAAATTATTTTTATTAGAAAATCTTGGTAAAAAAAATTTTTTGTGTTTCAGCCGCTTACTTAATTTTATGTAAACTTGAGTAATTCAACCTGATAACTTTTAGTGACTATATTAGTTAAAAGCAGAATTCTTTGAAGAATTTAAATTACTGATTTTTTTTTTTTTTACTGAAAATCTTTTCTGAATCAAAAAATAAAAAAAATGTAATAAAACTAAGACATTATTTAATTAGAGAAGCTTTTAATTGCTTTTATGAATGATATATATTAAAGACAAAATTGTCTGGAGAAAAAATTTTTCAATGAATTTTTACAAGATTTTTTTTCATTTTTTTTACAATTTTAAATTTAATAATTTTAAATCTTTTAAAATTAATTTTCAATGTGATAATTTTTAGGAAATATTAAGTAAAACTATATTTACTAATTATATATTGTAAAGCTTATTACAATCTGACAACCCCAAATATTTTTAAAAGAACTTCAATTTGTTTTTGTATGTGTGATTACATGCAGAATTTCTTAGGTGTGGTTGTACAATCCGATAAATTTATCATTAAGAGGTCATGTGTTTTAAGGGTTGCCCACCTCCTATGGCAAAAAAAACCTCAAACTTTATTGTCTGCTCCACAATACTTAACTATGAACATGTTCTGCTGCCAATAAATCAATTAACATGTCAGAAAAACAAGACCTTGTGGTTAAGAAATGTTTGTATACAACATTTTATGCTATAAGTAAGTAATATTTGTTTCAAATCAGATTAATTTAACTTTAAATTTGCTAATTTTCCTCAAATAATGTTTCAGAAATATATATTTTATTTTTGCAAGATTTTTAAAAATGAGAATTAATTCTTTTAATTAAATGTGTCAAAAATGGCCATTTTGATTGATTTTACAGAAAAAGATCAATTCTGATCAATATAATTTCTGTTTGAAATACACCATAGTATTTTGTTTACTGGAAATAGCAAATTTTAAATCCTTTAGCTTTCAATTAAAGCTAAAATTAAAACTTCAAGAAAGCTTTTTCATTTTTAAAAATTCATTTTAAACCTTACATATATTGAATTAGTAGAGGTACCAATGTTTAATCTATCCAATTTGAGAATTTCATTAAAGTACAATTTAACCTACAGAATCTCAATCTGAAAACATAGCTACAATAAAAACAAGATCATTATATTTTATGTAATGAATATTTCCCAAATCATCAGAAAATGAATAGTTAAGTGGTATTTATCCTTTATCTAAAACTTATTGTCTTTTTCTTATTTTGCTAAAAAAATACCAAGAAGAAATCATGCAAGCTGAATAATAAAATTAATAAGTTTCATACAAGGTGATAACTTATAATTTGGATTTGCCTTGGTTTCATCATACAATAACTTTTACAGAAAAAATTTTGGGAACAAAATGTTGAGAAATATTGATACAATGAATTAAGGAAAATGAGCTTTGTATTTTTAAATTCTAGTGCCAGCAGATGGGGAAAAATAATAATGTATCTATTTTGTTTCAGATGGTGAGACATTAGATGAATGGGGTAAATTTTTACATACAAAGAATAAACTCTACACAGACTTTGAAGATATACGTCAAGAAATTGAAAAAGAAACTGAAAGAATGACTGGAAACAACAAGGTTACTATTTTGTGCAATGAAATTTTATTTTATTTTTTATTTTTTTTTATTTTTTTATTTATTTTTTTTTTTTGAAAGATGCTGGCATTCCAAATTTAAAAGTAGGTATGCTCTGATTAGAATGATTTCTAATCAAAGCATAAACAAAATAATGCAAAAATAATTTACATAATTTATTGCTTAGGATTTTTGCAATATTTAAAGAAGGGTTGTAAAATAAACATTTTCTTCTGTAGTGGAGTCTCTATCTATAAAAGGCAGGGTGGGTGTGTGTGTGTGTAACGAATGCACGGACGCAATTTTCGATGGATTTGCACCAAAATTTACATGCACATGCTCCAAGTTAGCGGGAAGGCCAAGACCGACTTTGCATTTCCCAACTCTCATCGATAGTGGAAATAATCGATTTTTTTCATGCTTCTATGGCAGTTTTCATGTAGTTTGCGGCCATTTTGTGCTGGCCAGAGTGAGAGCCAATAGCTGGCTGCCACGAATAGGCAGGAAGATTCTATTGACCAGTGTGAGAGCCAACAGCTGACTGACACAAATGTTAACTAGTATGCTAGCATGCAAAAAAAAATCGATAGCTGTATTCATCACAAGTGGGAAAAATTTAAATCTGCATTGCACTTTACTCCAATTGGCTCATTCGCTTGCTTAAACTCAATGTTGATTCTGATTCCGCAGAACTGGGTTGGGTGTGAAAAAGTATTTGTTGTTAAGATTCTTTTTTCATTTGGTTTTTCCAGTTACGAGTCCTTTTTTAAAGCTGATCGTTTTGTGTTCATTTTGTTTAGTTTTTTTTTCGTAACAGATTTAATGTTTAGTATAGAGCTTAGAAAAAATTTGCAGTGTGAGATAGGTAAGAAGTAAGGCATGTAGCAACATCAGCATGGCAAAGGGCACTCCTTTAAAGGCAAGGAAGGGCAAAAATATTTTAAGTCAAGTGATAGCGATTGCTGTATAAGTCGTACAATTTTTGAATCAAGCACGGGCAGCGCTGGGCCATGCTGCTAGTTATTAAATATTTGGCAATTTGTTTTTATGATTTAAGTAGCAACTTAAATAATTTTTAATGAAAAATAATGATACCTGTGGACTCTTTATGATGCTTATGATTTTAATGCCCCAACAGTCAAAGTTGTGTCTCCATATTTTTTATATGAACTGAACTTTAGCATCTGGTAAGTGCATAGATAATACTCTGGTGATAGTTATATTTTTACAATTTAAATCTGTTTTCTTGTTATTTTTTCTAGTTTTAATTTTTTTTTAATCTATATTGCAAATTACTCTAAAATTGAAACTGAAAAATGGTGATTTTATGTGCCTACTTAAATCATTTTCATTTTAATTATCTGTTGGTATAAAAGAAAATTGACTGATGACACATAACCTACACTAATATACCAAATAACAACTTCATAAAGCCACAGGTGTCAGTTATCACCTCTATTAATAAAAATAAGATTGGTTAGTTTCTTTGGGTGCTAAGTTTTATTTTTTTGTTTATCAGCATTTATTCTGTCTTCTGATTCTGTTGCACTTAATTTGTTATGTTGTGAAGTTTTGAGTAGCAATCAAAAAATCTGATTGATGAATTCAATCTGATGATGATAAAAAAAAGATAAAAAGAATATCAACATGTTACCAATGTCAAGATAACCACTTGTTAAATTTTCTTATTTAATTTTTGTTAAATTGCCAAATTCATTGATTCTGAAAAAAACATATTTTCAATGCATTATAACCTTTTGAAAATATCATGTTTACTGACATTGAAACATTGAATAAACATTAATTATTATCATTTTAAATGTTATTTTTAGTGGATACCAATATTTGGGAAGATGCTCTGTTTATTTTAAAATATATATTAATTTTTGTCTACCAGCCTGAATATTCAAGAAATTAGAAAAAAATATGCTCTGTCTGGCAGGATTCAAACCTGTGGTTTCTCCTGCAGAGGAAGATAGCAGTTTGAATTCTGCCAGAGGGCATATATTTTTCTTTAATAAGATTTCTCGAATATTCAAGCCGGTAGATGAAAATAAATATATTGTTTAAAATGAACAGAGCATCTATTCCAACATGGATATCCACTAAAAATAATGTTTAAAGTGATGAAAATCTGTTGAATTACTAAATTAAGAAAATGATTATTTTTTTAGAAATAAACATTAATCAAACACGTTTATAGTGCTAATATATATTAATAAATTTTTGAAACTCATTAACAATTTCAGTTTAGATTTATCTATTGCTTTATTTTTCAAATCTAATAAATACAAGCTTGATTTTGAAATTGCTTATGTCCAATATTTAAATAATCAAGTCTTGATTTTGTGAGAGCTGCAAAATGCTGTAAATTTAAAAGTGAATATAATTTTAAAATCATGCCTTTTGTAATTGGAACTAAATAGAAATCTATACAATCTAAATAAATTGTGTCAATTAAGGGCCTTTTGTCTCCAAATAACTTTGCTTGTTTTCTCTTGTAGGGTATCTCTGCCGATCCTATCAATCTGAAGATTTACTCACAAAATGTTGTGAATCTAACTCTTGTGGATTTGCCAGGAATCACAAAAGTGCCAGTTGGAGATCAACCTGAAGACATTGAACAACAGATTAAAGAACTGTGTGCAAAGTACATATCAAATCCTAACTCTATTATTCTCTCTGTGACTGCTGCAAATACAGATATGGCTACTTCAGAGTCCCTTGCTCTTGCTCGGGAGGTTGATCCTGAAGGTGTGTAAGCTTTCTTATTTTTATACTAAATTAATTACCTTACAAATTAATTGCATTAATCTTTCAACTATGTATCTTTTATTATTTGATATATACATTTATATTGTCCTCTTACTGCTTCGAGTTTCATCTAAAAACTCTTGGTATAAAGTTTTTCATTTTTCTTTTGTTAATGGTATAGTTAATAAGTTTTGTAAAGTCAGTGGTTTTGCTAAGCTTCTTGATTAGTTAGCCCTTCACATTCACTGGGGAGGGGAGGTCAAAGCTGGAGGTGCAAAACTTCTGTAACCCAAAAAAAAAAAAAAAAAAAATGAATATCTACAGACCCTATTCTCCCTTAAACTTCTACAGCTGTTAACTATATTTAATATGCTTATATCATTAAAAAGAAAATATATTTTTGTAATGTGCATAAAGTGTTATATTTTTAAAATTGGTACGTTTAAAATGTTTTTGTTATCTGTTATTGCACCATGACAGATATATTGACAGTTAAATTCAATTCTGTAAATAAAAATCTTGCAAAAATAAAATATACATCCTAAGAAATAGGAAGGTAAAAAAACAGTTAATTTAACAAATACTTTACTGTATTTTGAAAGTATTAGTTACTTTTTACTTTATAATTGAAAAATATATATGTGTATTTACGGTGAGTGTAACAGGATGGGTGGGGATCCCACTTTACCACTTTAGTCTGTAAGGGACAATGGTATTCTCTTACAAAGTCGCAACCCCCCCCCAGTATTTTCTGATGTTGAACTTGCAAGATTGATTTCTGACTCTTGGAATTACGACCTCAAACTTCAGATTTATTGGATCTGAACGTCCCTATTGCTCTCAGGCTTAAATCCAAACTTGCAGTTAACCCAAGAGAGAGTAAGTATAAACTGAGCAGTCCCTCCACCACTCCACCACCACCACTCTTACATCTACTTGGGTGAGCTGGGCAAATGACAAGTCAATAATAGCCAGACGGCAAACCTGAAATAAAACAAGTATAAGAAAACCTTAAAATTAAAATATTTAGCTAAAATACTAACTGGCAAAAAACACTATTCTCAGGTCAACCAGTGAATTGAGTGAAATGACTTAAATTTATACTATTATTGTGTTAGTATGTATGATATTTATGCCTCTGAGCATGATTCAAACTCTGAAGAGTCAGGTATCAGAACAGAGTTTGAATCATGCTTTCTAACCAAGAAAACTACATAATAATATTAAGTGAGAAAGAAATTAGGCAAAGAAATAAAGAAGAGAGGAAAAAGAGGATATGAAAGATGAAAAGTAGGAGATAAAGATAAAAAAGATGAGCAAGTGAAGGGAGATTTCATATATATATATATATATATATATATATATATAAAATATATATAGTTTTAAGGTGTGCTATATTTATGGGATAAAGTGCTCAATATCAGTGATAGAGCATATATAAATATCAAAGTGAACATTGAAGTCAACACTCAGAGGCGACTGGCTTTTTCAGCCTAGACGCAATCGTCAGGGCACCTGATGACTGCATCTAGCATGAAACTGATTGTTGCCTCTGAGTGTTGACTTCAATGTTCACTTATATATATATATATATATATATATATATATATTGAGGAGTAGAAGAGGTGTAGATGAAAGAAAGGCAGACAGGTTTGTGGGCTGGATATCAAGTAACAATGAATGGAAATTGAAAGGTATAAAAATTATACTCCATTAAAATACTTTATAGATAGATAAAAAAAAGGAGCAAATACAGTAGAAAATATTGATGTTCTTTATTTCTTTTTTTTAATACGAAGCCAATGCATGTTTCTAAAATATTTACATAAAAACATGAAGAGGAAACAAAGATTGAAAAGAATGAGGAGTAATAAGAAGTTTATGATACTGCTTCTCTGCAGCCTGGTGAGATGTGGGAAATCAATGAATTGTCTGATGTCTGGCTGTATTTTGACAAAAGAGCAAGAGGTTCTCCTTCACCCATGTTGTGTTTAATGCTCTGAAGAAGGTTCTCAACACTCTTCAGAACACCTTCCAAAATTACAATCCCAGCAACATCACGTGAACTGGCCACAATTCCTCCCAGGTCTCACTATGAATTATAGTTGTTAAACACTGGGAGAATTATTCTCTATACACTGCAGTACTGGGTATGATGATAAATTACATCTGGCAGCAATGCCTCTGATTGGGAGATTGGAGGTTTTGAGGAGTGTGGAACCACATCTTAATTGCTGTTGTTCCCAGGTCCACTCTGACTTTGTGTAGAAGCACCTGTTTAGGTCCCAGCTATAGACAAATAGTGAACCCTGAAAGAAAAACAAAACACTATGAAAGTATAAAAATACATTTTTAGAGTAAAAAATATCAGCAATACATTTTATATTAAAAAAATGACCAACAATACATTTTTAAAGCAGAATGACCAGTAATGCATTTTATCTGTAGTTGAAGGCATACAATTGTGTTCAAAATATATTTAGTTGAAGGCATACAATTGTGTTCAAAATATATTTAGTTGAAGGCATACAATTGTGTTCAAAATATATTTAGTTGAAGGCATACAATTGTGTTCAAAATATATTTAGTTGAAGGCATACGATTGTGTTCAAAATATATTTAGTTGAAGGCATACAATTGTGTTCAAATCATTTAGATTTCAGCATTAAATTACCCATAGAGATTAATATGACACTAAGTAAAATCAATGCTGAATTGGTTCATCATCTTTCATTGCATTTTCTCAGACAAGCAATATGGCTTTCGTCTCTCCAGGTCAACTGCTGATGTACTGACAATATTTGTGGAAAAAGTTTATTATGTTCTAGGTAAAAACTGTGAAGCCTGGGCATCTCAAAAGCCTTTGACAGGGTCTGGCATTCAGGTCTTCTCCACAAGCAGAAAAGTTAAGTGTCTCCAGATGCTTTTTTGAACTGATCCACTCTTTCCTAACAAATCATGAAATGAGTTATCCTGGATGGCCACTCATCTAGATCTTTTTGTACTAACACAAATGTCCCCCAGGGTTCTATCCTTGGTCCTACTCTATTTTTAATTTTCATTAATGACCTTTCTGATGACATCTTGATATAAACACTGATGACAATTTACTCCAGCTTTGATAGTAAGGCTTATCAGTTGGACAAGGTCAAAATGGCAGCCGATGCCCAAAATGACCTCAAGCCTCTCGTTAACTGGGGCAAAAGATGGCTTGTTAATTTTAATGACTCTAGAACTAAACTTCTCTCCATTAATCGTCAGAGAGACCCCTTGCTGCCTTCCATAAGCATAGCTGATGCTATCCTCCAGGAAAGTGACTTGTTATGCCTTCTTGAGTTCATATTCTCTGCTGATATGAAGTGAAAAAACTATATGGAATCCATTGCTAGGTCAGTGTCTAAGAAAGTTGATTCACTATGTTGGGCATACAGTTTTTGTCTCTAGAATCTATCTTGCATATCTATAAGTTTATCATTCATCCATGCTTAGAATATTGTGTCCCGTGCTATTTACCTGGTGCTCCTTGATAAGATCCAAAGAAGAATATGCAATATTATTGGTCCTGATCCTTATTGGCATAGCTCTAGGTCAACTTCCAATTGCTGTAATGTTTTCTATTTCTATTTCTTAATCTTTTCTATAAATACTTTCATGGTTGTTCGAATGAGCTCTTCACTATGATACTTAGAGTTTTTTAATTTAAGCGCAGCACTAGACTGACATGAAGCCTTCATCAATTTACAATTGAGCTGGTTAGATGTAGCTGTAGATTCTATGCTAACAGTTTCTTCTCTCACACTTCTTGTTTGTGGAACTCCCTTCTGGCTCCATGCTTTCCAGCCAAATTTAATCTACAAAAATTTAAATGCAATGTCAATCACTATCTGCTGTCTTTCTGATTACTCTCTTGTCTTTCTGCTCATCTTTAATGTTTCTGTTCCTAATTCTTCCACATCCTGTAACCCCTTGTGTTTTAGTGGCATTATTGCCTTGTTTGGGGTGATTCTGATTTAAAACAAAAAACTAAACCAAATTAACTGCACTGGAAAATTTGCAAGAAATAAACAAGCTTGATTGAACTAAATGAAAGGTTACATTTATTTTACCTAAAAAAAATGATCATATTTCCAGCTTTGCTGTAATTTATGCCTTGGACAGTTATCAAGACCAAAATTATATTAAGTGGTTGCTCTTAGTTACTGGGCAAACTTGCTTAGGCAAGGAAAAATGGAGGTACATGAACTGCCACAAGTCAGTTTGAGCTGGCCACTCTTTAGCCCAAATAGTTTATATATTTTTTTAATTGTTCACTAATTAATTAAATTACTTCCTTCTATATAACTGGACCAATGTCACACCTTTTATGAATAGAATGTATTTTTTTAAGATTTGGACAATCTCCTTTTTTTCTGACAAAATGGTTTCTCTCTCTTTATCTTCTTTTAGTTTCAATACAGATGGTTCTTCTCACTCAAGTATTATGGTCAATTAGCTACTGAATATTAATATTTTGTTTGTATCATCTGTGTTTGAGTGTTTCCAGATTTCAATATTTCAGAAGTTTGAAGAATGATATATTGGAATGGTTGGCTTCTTGTTGGTAAAGTTTACTGGAACTATCCAAGAGATACTAATTTCTTAAGTCTTGTTACTATATTCTCTGTTGGTTTGTATAGATCTGAAGATGCAACAGCATCTCACTAAGATCCAGGTAGCAACTGCCTACAACAACTGTACTATCATTTAAATTTAAAAAAAAAAAATAAACATTGAAATATATTTCACATTGTTTCTCAAAATCATGAGACTCACTTTACATGTTTGATTGTGTAACAATATGATTTCTCACACATCTTTAGAAGATATGGAGATAAATTCCTTCCTTTTAAGTCTATTTGAGTTTTGTAGGAATTTTGTCTCCAGTCCATCTCTAAGTGTCAGTGTTTTGGGGGGATTTATAGCTATATTTGTCTTTGAATTGGGAAATATAAAAATTTTATCAGTGATTTTAGACAGTCATAAAAGTAGTCCTTTGAAGATTTGACCACCCATGTTGCTTTGGGGTGGTCCCAAACCTTCCAGAACACAAGTGAGAGAGGCAGGAAGTTGGCAGAGAAAGGGGGTCCAGCTGTGAGAGAAGTAGGTAGGTGACCAGAGGAGTTGGAGTTGGCCAGTGACAGAAGGTCTGGTAGTGAGGAATCAGGAGTTGCTGAGCCCAAAGGCCATTGAGGAAGGGACCAGCCAAAGTTAAGGAGATAGCAGTTCAGCCAAAGAAAAAGATAGCTGGCTAAGTGAGAAATTATATTGTTGTGAATTCCCAACCAGTGTCTTTTAAAAACATTTGTCGTCATTGTTATTTGTTGAAAGTGATCATGGCCAAGGAGATGAACCTGTGCACATAGTAAGTTGGGTGTATATGCAAATACACTCAACCTTGGATGTCATCATGAGTGCAGTGAATGACGGATGATCAGAGAACATTGTCACAAAACTTGTCACAATTTTGCTACAAATGGTGTCACAATTGTTTCTAATTCTTGTAAGTCTATTTTGAATCCTCTGTGAGCCAGATTTACCTTAAATAGTGTCCAAATTGTGGAGTAGTAATTGAAATTTTAACCTGATTTCATTGTTTTAGGGAATTCTTTAGTCAAACACATTGTCTGGTTTGTGTCTTGTTAACTACTTAGGTTCAGTGTAAGGGGATATGTTGCCAAGTGGCCTGAATGCCTGAGTTTTCCCTTAGTTATTTCTAAGTTCAAATCTGCTAGTTTTCAAATGCTAACATCATTTATTGAATAAAATCAATATTTTAAATTGATTTTTTTTTTTTTTTTTTTTTTTTTTTTACACATTGTCATTTCTCCAGATGCATGGATTAAAACTGGCTTTTTTCCCCAAACCCTCCTTTATTTCTATTATAGGAAAAAACCATATTCTGTACTCTTAATAGTTCATACTGTCAAATTTCTTGGGGATAAGCCACTTTTCAGTTTATTACAAAGGATGAGAAGAGAGAGAGAGAATGTAAACCCGAGATAATGGATAATTTTAGTCATCAACACCTTAAGTGCCAAATTTATTTTTTTTTTTTAGTTTGTCAATGACCCTCACATGCTTTTGATTATCAGGAAGTTGTCGATATGAAAGCATGAATCTTAAATGTTAGTTAAATTGCAAGACCAGCCAAATCTACCCATTACTCTACAGTTTTATCTTAAAATATTTTTGAAGTTTTCACAGTAACACAGTGATTAAAATTGTATTTCAGTTAAAATTATAATAATCTCCACCTTTTTATATGCGTTTTCTCTTGTTTTGATTCTTATTTACCTTTTTCCTTGTTTCAAATGAGCAAGCAATTGTAACATTAATTTTTACTTTACTAATTTGTGCTATTTTTTTGATGTACAGGTCGACGCACACTGGCTGTAGTAACTAAACTTGATTTGATGGATGCTGGTACTGATGCTATGGAAGTTCTGTGTGGTCATGTCATTCCTGTCAAACTAGGCATCATTGGTGTGGTCAATCGAAGCCAAGCTGATATCAATGTTAAAAAGGTGACTTATTTTAGCATAAATAATTTTTAAATGCCTCTCACTACTGGCTTCTTTTGCAGTTTTTTTAAATGTTTCTTTGTCTCTATTTGTTAGAAATTAATTCAGTAAGTGGGGGTAACTATCTTTTTATTTTTATAACTTTAATGAGAATATTTTAAATAAAAATCAGTAAGTATGACTTAGTTCTTTAGTCAGAATCATTTTTAGTAAACATTGTCTTGATGTTATTTGTAGACTTTCTTTAGGGATTTAAATGTGATATATTCTTAAATCACAAAGTTTTTATCAAATATATGATACTTTCTAATATTGCTTTTGTAAATAAATGGTAATGTTATGTTTCTTTAATGAAATTCTCTTAAGAATCCTGACTAGAAAATCTTTTTAATGAGAGAAAACAACCTGTTATTCTAATATTATTGCTGTTTTTGTTTTAATTTATTTTCTTACCATTATTAGATGATCATAAATAATAACTAACCAAAATCGGTGCCAGAACATTATATTCAAATGAATTGACTTTATGAACTCATTAATGTCTGCCATCCTAAAAATGGAACATTGAGTAGAAATGGGTTACAAATAGAAACCTATAATTAATACTGGATTTAATGTGTTAATTAAAAAATTCTTGGTCTCTACTTATGTTAGTGTAGATGTGTTTAACCTTGTTACATGTGTTTTACATCTTTATCTTTTTTTTTCTCTGCATCTGAAATTTATCTAAGAAATGTCCTCCTTTTCTTTTTTTCTCTGGTTTAGTCAATGGCTGATTGTTTGAAAGATGAAGCCTCCTTTCTTCAACGCAAATATCCTTCAATAGCTAATAGAAATGGCTCACCACATTTGGCTAAAACACTTAATAGGGTAAATTTCGCAATCATCTCTTATTTCTTGCACAGTAAATGAAATGTCCTGCTTAAATTTTAAAATAGTTTAAAAAACAAGTACAATATAAAAAGAATAAAAAGAACTCTATATTTGATATTAAAATCAGATTGAGCTAAATTGTAGCACTTTTCTTCCATTTTATATTCATTGGCATTAATGTTTGCTTTTTTTATACATTTTGGTTTTAACAGTTTTTGATTATGCAAGTAAACAATAATTTATGAATGTAAAAGTAAATGATGCTCTATAAACCTTGTAAATGTTGATTTGCTAGATCATTTGTTTTTACAAGTACAGGTTATATTTTCCATTTCACATAAAACACAGTAGTTTACAATCAAATTTTCAAAGAAATATAATTTTTCTTTTTTGTAATAGTTAAGACTTAACACTCACTTTCTTTTTTCTAAATGTTCATCAGTATAGACAAATGTTAAGATTGCATTTATATTTCTTGCTGTTTTTTCAGTTACTGATGCATCATATTCGTGATTGTTTACCAGAGTTGAAAACAAGAGTAAATGTTTTAATTGCCCAATTCCAAAGCTTACTTAGCTCTTTTGGGGAACCTGTTGAAGACAAAGTAAGTACTTAAATTGTTACCATTTTAAGCTTGGATAAATTTATACATGTTTAATCACTGTTAATTTCTTTCTTTTTTCAAATCTACTAAATATTCCTCACTTTTTACTTAAAAGACAAACTTGACATAAAATTTATGAACATTTACACAGAAAAATTTATTTATTTTTGTAATTTTAAAATATATAGATATTACAACAATTAGAAAGATTTGTGATCACTAATAAACAAATATCTATTTAAAATATACTTTCAAAGTAAATGTGAATAATAGATTTATTGATTTGGCATTTGATTAGAAAAGTTGAAAGATTTTTTTAAAAAATTTTCTGTTTTTTGGAGTTGAAATATTTTCTGAAGGAATTTTTATGCACATTTGTTTTTTTTATTTCAGGGACAGTTGCTACTTCAAATCATCACAAGATTTGCTGCTGCCTATTGCAATACCATTGAAGGCACAGCTAAAAACATTGAAACAACAGAGCTGTAAGTTAATTTTGTCTTTGTGTGTCCTCACTATTGGATATTAGTAGTGTACTATGAACATTCAGGCTTTTTCTTATTTCTAATTGTGTTAATTCAGTATTTAAACATAAGCTTAATGCTTTGTATCTTGACTTGTGACACAATGGATACCTACATGATTGGCTTAGAGCACTCATAAAGTAAAGTGAACTGTGAATGATTTTACCTGTCACTCTCTCTCCTATATATATATATATATATATATATATATATATATAAATAAAACATTATTTGGGTTGCCGGTATTTAATAAAGGCCTGGAATATCAACAAAAACGAGATATTGATGAATAAACTACCATGGAAATAGTTAAATGAATATCAAGAACGATAGACTGATAGCAATTGATTCCTAGAGAATCAAGGTTTATAAAATGAACCAGGTTACCAGCTGAGAGCAATGCTTGGGTTGTACGACAGGCCAAGTGTTGACAGTATTTGACAGACAATGCCTGTGAAATCAACATGAGGAGAATTGGATTAAATGCCAGTTACAGATAAAATTTTTTTGCAGAGATCTCAGGATTGAAAACAATAAGCTGAACCTGCAATATATTGACCTTTGTCTGAATGAATTGTCACCACAATGTGAGTTGCAAAAGGTCCCATTGACTTATCTGTCAGATCAGTTCCGTGTTCTTTAGCCTCTATAGAATATGAGAGCAGAAAACTTGAGTAGATGTCTCTGTTAACAACTTGACACCAGACAGAATAAAGTTTATTACATCATTAATACAACCTTGGAAGACTGGCAACTTGTGCTGTTATTTGATATATTATGGCTCCATTTCTTCCAAGCTGATAGCATGTTTTGGATATGGCATAGACTCCAGGAGTCCATGGATCCCATTTTCCATAACATATTATCTCGAAACAATATTCTTTGAACCTGCTCCCCTGTGCTTTTTTTATAAATATTTTTATGGTAATTGTTCTAATGAGCTTTCCTCTTTGGTACCTTAATTTTATGAATTTAAGCACAGTTTGCAACTATGTCTCATCATTTTACAGTTGAAATGGCTAGATATAACTGTAGGCTCTATACTAACAGTTTCTTCTCTTGCACCTCCCACTTGTGGAACTCTCTTTCAGCTCTTTTGCTTTTCAATCCACTTTGATTTTCATAAATTTGAATACAACATCAATCGTTATCTTCTGTCTTCCTAATTCATGTTCTGCTATTGTTCCCTCTCCTTAATAATGTTTCTTTTTTTCTCATCTAAAAAATAAAAATATAATAGTTACTTTACTTTATGCTTTTGTTTTTTTTTCATAGAGCTCTTGAAGTCGGAAGAATGTTATTTTTCTGATATATAAATAAAATGTGCTTCCCTTTTATTTGAAAATATATATACAATATTTTTTTCTTTTCATTCCAGTTGTGGTGGTGCTAGAATCTGTTACATTTTTCATGAAACTTTTGGTCGCACCCTTGAATCTGTTGATCCCCTTGGTGGCCTCACTACTCTAGATGTACTTACTGCCATAAGGAATGCTACAGTAAGTATTTATAGTGCAACTGTCTTTGTTTTCTATCACTGACACAATTCATTTACTAATGAAAAGACTTAAGCATGCCTATTGTTTATACCATTCCATAATGAGTAAATGAATATGAATAATAACTTGTATATAAAATTAACATTTATTCTCAGTTATATTAGAAATTTAATGTGCTAAGTGAATCTTCTGAAAGTTTTCATCTGATAAACTAACAAGCTTTTTAATTAACTCCAGTTCAATTCAAATTGATCTTGAATTCAGCTAGTTTTTTCAAGTTCTTTCTTTTTAACTGATTACTTTCTTTTTATAATTTCAATGCAACAAAACCTTGGCATAAATGGTTCTTTAGTGACATGAGATTTAATTTAGTTTTGCTCTAAGACAAATACATTTTAGTCTTTTACATAATGCATTTTATTTACAACTGTAATGTCTTTTTGTTTGCCTTCTTCAGGGTCCACGGCCATCACTGTTTGTTCCAGAAATATCATTTGAACTGTTAGTTAAACGCCAGATCCGCCGCTTAGAAGAACCTAGTTTACGTTGTGTAGAACTGGTACATGAAGAGATGCAAAGAATCATTCAACACTGTGGTACTCAGGTGAATCAACTCAGAAAATTCTTTTTGATCACTGTTTATTTTTTTTTTTTTATTATGGTGTTTGATAAAGAGGAAACTTATTGTTCTTTGTATCAATATTAAGCAATGGGCACTTTTATAATCTATCTGAAGTAAAATGCCACATTAACATTTATGAAGGTAAATATTTATTATATTATTTGGCCATACCAAATCTACGAATATAAGGTTGACTGTTTAAAATTTCTTTTACTCTCATCTTTGCATGTTACTTACATTCTTTAAATTTTGAGGATATTTTACCTTCTTTAAAGTGTTTATGTATTTTCTCTTACAGCAAGAAATGTTAAGATTTCCAAAACTCCATGAGCGAATTGTAGATGTAGTTACTCAGCTTCTTCGTCGGCGCCTACCACCCACAAATTCTATGGTGAGTTTATTTTTATTTTTTTTTTCCCTAATATTGTAATGACAAAAATTAACAATTAAATTATTAATTTTTTAAATGTATTACATTAATTCTATACATTGCACTTATTAAAAAAATAAGCTTATGACGTTTCTTTCTGGAAGAGGTATTTCAGGTTGTAGCTTTTGGTGTGTAATTATTTTTATATTAGTATATTTGAAGTTTGGGTATTTAGTTTTGATGAGCTGTTTTTTTTTTTATTTTTTTTTTTTTTTTTAATTAATGATATTCTTAATGAAATTTTTTTTTTTTCATAATAATTGTCATATGCCATTTTTAATAGCAGTGGCTTTATGAAATAAAAAATAAAATTTAATTTCCTTTTTATCCAGTATTTTTCACATAAAGGATAGAGAAGATATTCATATTTATAATGCAATTTTTACACTATAAACTAATAAATAAAATGATCATTGAATAGTTTAGTTGCAAACTGCATATATTTATCATTTAAAAAAAATATTTATATTTTGTAATTATTAGACTTTAGTCACTTTTTTATTAACAATTTTCTTGTTTTGTACTAATAAATAAAAAGGTATTTTATGTATTTTGGTAAAATATTTGTATCTATTTTGTTATCTTTTAACTTTATTGAATGTCTTCAATTAATTTTTGATTGAAACACAATTATGCACTGTAAAATTTTTATTTATATAAATTTTTATTAGCACTAGTAACATAAACTTTATTAAAACAAAATTATATTTACATGCCAACCGACAAGAATAAGTTTTGTTATTCCTAATGCACCAAATAAGAGTATCAATACCTTAAATATTTCAGTCATTTGTAAGAAACTTTTTCTTTAAAATAATTTTAAAATTTCCTCCAGGTTTTTTTTTCTACTTTCTGTTTGTAAGTAGTATATATTTTAACACTTATTGACCAGAATATGCATTTAAATTCAGTTAAGTCTTTTTTCTATACTGGAGTATTATCATATAAAATGTTTAGAATTTTTTTCCTGTTTTTGTTGAATTAAAACAATTTAGTATATCATTTTTTTAAATCTTTTATTATATGGTAATATTACTGAATTATCCATTCTGCTTATTAAAAAGAACATATTTCTTTATAAATAATCAAACTACTTTGTTATAAAAATAATTCTAGTTCTGCATTAAGCTACACTTATGATTATTCACAAGTTTTATTTGTTTTCTGTTTTTTTAGGTAGAGAATTTAGTGTCTATTGAATTAGCATATATCAACACAAAGCATCCGGATTTTGCTGAAGCTCATTCAGTGCACAAAACAGCTGTTGAAGATACTCAGGAGCGTAGAATGGTGGCCAAGGAAGGAACTCCAGCCAAAGTACCTCTCCCTGAAGTTCTAGACAATAAAGAAAATAAGGTAAGCATTTTATTTTTTTCTCATTTCTTGAATTTAACCTGCATTTATAGTAATATTTTTCCTTGTAGTTTGCCAAATTGGACAAGTGAGTTAGTAATACTCACTGCTGTTACACTCTCTTGATTACCTTGGGCAAATCATTGGCTGTAGAAATGATTACCAAAGCCATTTGCTTTTTCTTAGTAAGTTTTGTAATCTGTTCACATAAAACAAAATGGCAACCAGTAAAAGAAAGAAGTAAAATTGGTTGAAGTTAAATGGAATTTTTTCTTTTTTAAATTAAATCATTTTTCCTTATAAATTTTTAACAGTAAACATTTTGTAGTGATATTTTTTCCTGTTTATTTCAGTAGTCATAATATTTCTTAGTTATACTGCCTGTTTTTCTACCTAAATATTGTGAATATTTCTAACACAGTATTTCATTTAATTAGTGGATGTTTGAAAATTGTCAGATAATATCAAAAGAGAAACAGTAAATTATGAAGAAAAAGGATGAATGTAACAGTTAAACTAAATAAACATTCAACATTAGATTAATCAGAATTAATTCTGACTTTGTGTCAGTTATCCATATGTTTAAATGTGTGCTAGTATTTGTGAATGTAGTCTGTATACAAGTCTGAATAAATAATAGATTCTTTCATTATATTGTGTAGTGTCTGTTGCCATTTCATTGTTCTATATGCTTGTATTTTCACATTTGGGGGTTCTTATTTAAAAGTATATTTAGTATATTTTACTAGTGATGTAATTGGAATTAAGATAACTTAATTATTTTATACACACTTATACATACATTAACACATACATCGAAACAAACACAGATATATGTATATAGATGTCCATGACTAGAAGGTAATATGACAATAAAAAGAGCCCAGTTTAGTTATAGGGAGATTTCTCGGGAAGGTGAAGGGAACATTCCTATAGCAGTGTAATAAAGAGCAGCATTCTTTAAATTTTGACAGGTTCTCTTAAAGATATTCATGCTATATTGAGCATATTTGTCTTTGATTTTTGGATAATTGTCCTAATCCCAATTTTGATGATATTCTGCTCTATCTTACAAGAGTATACACACAAATGTCTGACTTTGAATTGCTCAATTCCAGTGAGACAAAAGGGTGAGAAGGTATTACTTGAGCTGTTCACCTAACAAACTACTGTCATTGTCCATTTAAAAAATAACTAATTGATTTAATTGTATGTGCAACTTGTATTGTTTACTTTAGAAACATCATTAGTGAACTATCTAGGTGTCTTGAATTTTGACCTTTTTGTAATTGTTAGATGTTTGCTTGCTTAGGTTTCTTTCCTAAATGTGGTTTCTATTTAATAGTGTACCTGTTTATTATTTTCCTATGCTCAACTGGCTTTTCTGAAAAATTCCACTTTATATAAGCTATTTGATATTATTTGAAAGTGTTGCACATTCAGATTTAAAATGTTTTTTTCATCATGGTTTCAATTTTTATTAAATTTAATTGATTCTGATCCATGTAAAATAGAAAATACTTTTTGATAAACATTAACAAAGAAAAATGTTTTCTAGCCCAGTCCATAGATGCATACACTTAAGTCTATTTAATAAATTATATTCTCATCTCTCTCTATATATATATATATATATATATATATATATATGAATGACTGATTGAAAGTGAATTTATCAGGGTAACAGTATTTTCTTACTACTGCTCGGGTAGATAGTAGGTAAGGTATTTATGGGAAATTTACCCACGTTCTATCTCACTCAACCATGTTGACATCCCTGTGGCAGGATATTTTTTATCAAAGTGATATGTATATTTATGACTTTATACAAAGCAGACATAAACACTTTCAACCAGTTTTATACAAATTATTATGTTTTTGAATATCAATATAGTTAAACATATCCAAGTAAATCTTAGACTTACAGCAATATCATGTTAAAAATGCTTTTTAAAAAATTTAAGAAAGTAAATATTATTCATTGTTTAGTTTAGAATTTTAAGATTTAATGGAAACAATTATTGTTCAGATAAAAGGAAAAAGATATTAAATCAAATAGCAGAGGAATTTTGGGAAAAACTTGTACAAGAATCTAAAAATCTAGACTGAGCAGAGATTTTGGTTGTCCCTGAATTATTCTAAAGTAGGTTAGAAAAGGAATTTTTGGAGTATGAAAAAATTGGTGTCACCTGAATTTTTGTTTGTGTGAATTTATTTTAGCTGATGTTATGAAGAAATATCGGCACTAAGAATTGAATGGAGTTATTGAAATGCTAGACAGCAGAAGAGTATAATCTGTTGATAATAAAAGAACTGATAAAATATTAACAAATCTCTTGATGTATTAAATTCATTGATCAAAATGTGATAAAAAAGCAACCCCAAAAGATGAAGATACTTGTTCTTACCTCAAAGAGGTGTAAAATAGTTTGATTTTAATCTTATTACTGTATAGTCCACAAAATTGCTGTTCTATATCTCAGATACCTTATATGAAAAAATAGGCACAAACTCCATTTTCCCTCTATCATACACATATACATGTACTTGTTTTTAAAAAATGTATCTTACTTGAAAAATATGACATACTATTTAAATGGTGGCCTTTTCAGAAAAAAAGGCTTTTGACATATGACAGGCATTAAGCATTTTATGTTATCAATAATAAATACCTAATAACCACACTTCTTTAAATTGACTTATTTATATAATACAAATGGATGTATACACATTTACTAATTCCTATATCTGTTCTCCTATACATTTACAAACCTACACACTGCAACCTATGTACAAAATTCAAATATTATACCAAAAACCTATTGATGTCTTGCTTTTCTGATGGATAATTGATACGCAATATGTTGCATTTATAAAATGTGTATTACATGAACAGTTTAGATGCAGAAAATGACAACTGACAGTAGAATGAAAGTTCAAATGAATTGAAATAATAATAATAGGCATTACATAAACTACAAGACTTTAGTGAATAGAATGTGAATTTTTTAATGACATTTTCAGATAATTTTTGTTTAGAAAACTTTTTATCAAATATTTTTTTTTATAAAACAATCTTGTGTATCTTGGTGAATAATGTATTCTTAAAATGTTTAAAGTATATATACTCTGTTGCCTTTAAGAATTTGGCCTCCTTTCTAAGTGTTCATTTCAGATATCAATTTTCCTAGAACAAGTCAAAAGGTGAACATTTTGGTCTGCTTAGAAGCTACTTTTTCTTCTAGAGGACTGTGCAGTAATACACAAAAAATAATTCTTGAGTCTAGTTTGTGGGTTTACAAAAGAAACAAGTTGCTATCTAAAATTTTTATATTTTTAATTGTCTTCGAATTATCAATGCAGCAGAACAAAATGCATAGCATTCTGTAGCTCTTGTTCTTGTTGATGTGTTTGGAAATTGTACTTGTTTATTTGATAACAAATCTCATAAACTAGTTAAGAATGAATCTTGTGCCTTTCAGTGCATTTCTGTCACTAAAATGAAAAATAGAAAAAACACTTTACATATAATTGGCAGAGAAACAATTGAATGTGTAAAAATCATACTTTTCTAATTGATTTACTAAACTGTAAAAATTTAGGTACTATAAGCTGTTTTGTTATGATGCATATGTTTCTGGTACACATCCTAATTGTCTACATAAATTTTCCCAACCAAATCTTTGTCTAACTCTGTGTGTGTGTGTGTATGTGTTTGTATCATGTATCCGATTTTTTGTCAGGTGGTAGATGCAGTCAGTAAGAATGTTCACTTCTCTTCTGCTTCTGACCATTCACAAAATAGAAGCTACTCTGAGGCAAGTACCATTCATCTTGTTGATGGCAGCAGTTACCCTCCTGATGGCCACAATGTAAGTTTTCTGGCCACAAAAAAAAAACAACCCAGAAAAATTCCTCTTCCTCATCACTCCTCTCCCACATCGCATGCTAGAAGAGCCAGAATTGCTGTTTCATATGCCACAAACCAACATTTGTTTCTCATGCTGCCACCTTATCATTGAACAATGATATAAAGAATTCTATTTGATATCAATCCAGTGTGTTAGTACATTGTTTTCTCACAAATGTTCACTGAAGCTTCACAATAATTGCTATTGTTACAGAACTGCTTTAATATTAACAGAAATAGTATTGTCTTGTTGCTTTTCCCTAACTTGGTCATATTTTTATAATCTTGTTATTACTATGCTTTTTTTTCTTGTCAGCTAAAATTCTAATTACCTTCAGCTACTCTCTCCTCCTCTACCAAAATAGTTAATTTCAAGAAAACTGCACTTTTTCTGTGCAATTTTAATATTGTTTTCTTCCAAAAATCTATCCTTATTTGTTTTGTTTACTCAAATAACATTGATAATGCTACAACTGATGTTCTTTTATTTCTACTTTTTAAAAAATTCTCAACATCGATTCAAATCTGATTAATCACAGATTTAAAATGAAATAAAAAGAAAATACAGAAACTCTAGCTTAGGTTTCAATTAGTAGTTTGTCTTGTACTTAACTGTTCTCTATTCAGTTGAAGTTAATAATTTAAAAATTTCATTTTACTGCTTATGAGAGAGAAAGTTTTCATGTCCTTGTCTTTTGTTTTTCTACAAAAATATAGGCAACATTAATTTCTGTCCAAATCTGAAGTGAATAGAAAAGGAAATGATTTCTGGGAATCACTGTTAATGTATTTATAATTACTGGAATCAAATATTATTCAAGTAGTTTTCACTATTCACTAAAGTATTGACGCAATCATTTTAATTGCAACCCTTTGTTGAACTCTCCAAAAGTTATAGAATTTTTTTATTAAAACTAGTCCATTTTTTATAAATTATAGTGATTTGGCATGCAAGTTAATTAAGTCATTTTATAATCTTGCTAACAGAAATTTACTATTAAAAACAATGATTCACTGCTCAAAGAGAAAAGGGATAAAATACTTGTGACATTTGTTTTAACCTTTCATTATAATAATGTATAAAAATCATGTTATAATCATTTTTCTAAGATAAGTGTTATATCAGTTCGAATGAGAAGAAATTAAAGTTCATAAAATGCATAGTTAAAAAGGAAGAAAACCAGAAACAGCTATTGTTATTATTGTTCAGATTTATGGTCTTTCAAAAAATAAACACTTGTTTTGATTTGCATGTACATGTGACCCATATTAACATTTTGTTTTCATCATCAGTTAAAGTAAACTTGTATCTATTCCCAAATGATTTATTACTACTACTACCAATATATAAGCAGTATACTTATTAGTAAAATATTTTTTAATAGGTTTTGAAGAAATTACTTTTAATTTTGCAATGTTTATAAGTTTACAATGTCTAGAGTGTTATGTTCTTTCATTTCATCATTTTGTATTGATGATCCCATTTTAGGGATATATGCACACAAATCAACACAAACCTTTCCATTTTGTAGTTCCTTTTTATTATCATTTTTAACTTAGTAGATTAATGGAATATCTGCGATGTCATAAATATGTTAGCTGGTTGTTTATCATGTCAAGAGTGTTTAATAGCTTGATATTTTGCCTCCTGCTGAATGGTTTCTATTTTTACTTAATGACCCTTACTTGATTTGAATTTTATCTTTCTGGAGTTGTTATTGATTCTTACATATCTTTTATTTTAGATTGAATTGAATTCTAAAGTCTAGAACCTACACTTCTATATTCTGACTCCTAAAATAATGTTTGTACTTTAAAAGGAGTATAAATGTGAACATTGCGTTATTTTATTTTTTAAAAAGTAATAAATTTTGTTATTTTAAAGAACAGGTTTAAGATATTAAAAAAAAAAGCTTATATTTATCAATCATATAGGTAAGACTGGAGTTATCTTTAAAATTTGTTTTATTTTCCAGGAATTAGTTGTTTTTTTTTCTGTACCACCTTTTAAGACGACCAACTAGTGAATCATTAAAGTTTATAGAGAAAATATTTTCTGATAGAAAATTGCAATTATTTTTAAATGAAACATAAATTATGTTTCATGTTACTATTCATTTGCAAAATGTTGATTTCTCTGATGTCAAGCAATGTTTGATATTAGAGTATAAGACTATGATTGTATTTTAATACTACTTTATTTTCCTTACTGGTTCTTGAAAAAATTGTTTTATACTTGTTGAAATGACTAGCAATAAGTAAAATCCAATCTTTTTCATTCATACTTTTTTAAATTTTATCTATTTAATTATAATGTGCTAAAATCTGTATAAGAAAAGTATATTATTCAAATCAAATAGCTTTATTTCAGTTGAAAATTGGCAAAAGAAAATTATCATTTTGACTAAATTGTCAAAAAGATTATCAAGATTGTATGCTTTTAGACCAAAAACTTATTGCAAAAGTACATAAAAATTTTTGGTCTATAACCAAGAAAATTCATTATCAATGTAAGCATTGTCGTGATAGTTGAATTCCTTTTTTGTGTTGTTGGCTTTGTTAATGTTTTTTGCTGATTCCATCTATAGCCCTCTTCAGGCTAGAAAAAAAGACATTTTTCTTTCCTTGGAGATTACTCACCTGGAAAAGACTAGAATGGATTAACTGAAATGATATCAATAAAGCTTGGAACAAAGATATTTTATGCAGTGTTTTATGGAAATTAAATTGCCAATCTTGTTGAAAAAAATCTTTTTAATTGTATGTTAGGCTATAATGATAAAATTACAGTATCAGTAGCAATTAGAGTTGGTCAGTTTATTACTACAGCCAGACTTGAGAAGAAAATTATAGTTGTCTAGGGAAAGAAGAATTGATATCAAAAACTAAATTCAATCAGGTACTAATAGAAACGTGCACAATTGCTCCACATATTAGTAAGCCGCTTTTTTTAGTACTTGTTCCAAAAGTCTATATGTTCTGTTTACAAAATTAATAAAAAAATGATACCATTTCTTTTATTTTCTACACAATTTACTTGAAATATTAATTTATTTTTTCTATTTTAATTCAAGTAAAAAAAATTAATGAATAAACTTGAAAATTAACCCACTATAATTAATGTATTTATCAGTTTAAAAATATTGGTTCTTTAAACCTTCTTTAAACTAAAATTCTTTGAGATTAGTACAGTAGGATTTTATGATGATTTTTTTACTGTTTTTTATTATCTATACCTACATTAGTAATTTCATTATTATCAATCATCACCTTTTCTAATGCTTATCCAATTTTCTGCTAACATACAAAATGTGTATTATTATATTGTGTACATGCTTGTGAAAATTATAAAAAGGTGCTGATAATTTGAATGAATTCAAAATAGCAATTAAGAAATAATCACTTTGAACAGTTTATAATCAATAATTTTTGACTAGGTTTCTTCATATTTTTTAAATCATAAGACATTGTTTTATGTTCTACAACCATTAAATAACCAGTATAGATCGGCAATAAAAGTAGTAATCAAAATGATCTGAAAATATACTTTGGATGTTACATTATGATTTGAAAATAAGAAGACTTCTTTATTCTTGATTCATATTGTTAATTTAAAGAACATAAAGAAAAAAAGTAACAACAATAAGATGGAAAAACTAATAAAAATGAATGATAATGCTTTGTTTAACAAATTTGGAAAATTTAAGATTGAGATTTATTAATAATACACACTAATAACATTATTGTTTTAAGAACTGATTTTGAAATTTACAAATTTTACAAAAATTACCCATATCTATTAATGTGTACATTACCACTGTACACAAAGCATAGCTCCAAGTTTTCCACAAAACTGTATCAACATATGGTAATGTTTATAAATTGAATTTCATTTTTACTACATATAGACTTTATGGATAATTTTGATGAAACAATTTTTAGATCGGCATTCATGCTAGAAGTCTACCTATGATTATAGTTTTCTTTATTTTGTGTTATCTTTTAAAATTATCATTTGTTTAAAATTTGATCAAATGTTAAAACAAACAATTCTTGTGTTAAAAATTGCAAAGTAAGTGTACAACTTGATAGGCTTGAGTGTAAACTGGATTGGCCAAAAATAATAAGGTAAGCTTAGCTGTTTACAGGTCATTATAGGTAAAATTGACTAAATTGGTAATAATTATTGTCAGTACTAGATTTAGGAATTAAATTATATTTTATAAAGATAATTGAAAACCAGTTTTATTTTTATTTCTAATTTCAATTTCAGTTATAAAATATTATGATCAGTTGTTAAAAAATAGGAAACTGCAACAAAAGAGAAATTAATTTTTGAAAAATTACTATTAAAACCTTTGAGAATAATAATTTAAAAGCATTGTTTCACACAAGTTGCAAAGCTTTGTTAGTGTTGAATTGATCATTTAGGCTTTCTCTTGACAAGATCATTTTTCATTTCATACCACATTTGCATCATCAGCATGGCTTCCATATGATATGCACAGTTTTCTATTGAGAATTAATATGCTCATACCATTAGATAGGAAAAGCTTTAGATTGGCTTGTTTCACAAATCTTATGGTGATGTATAAACAATAAAATGGAAATTATTTTGAATATAGTCTTTCAAATGGGGGAAAAAAAACTTATCTGCAAGCCTTACAAGTTTTTTTGCACAATTATTATGGTCATACTTTTGGCAGTTTCTTTTTTTACAGATTTATTCTGAAGACCTAGGGGCATGACTGACTTGTTTTTGCTTCTTTTTCTTCTTTTTATTTATGGACAGAAGACATACTTTCAAAGAGATATAGTCTGGACTACATCAAATCCCATTCCAATGATGCACACACACACACACACATATAAAATATATGCAAATATTTAGATATTGCAAATATTATTTAACAGTACATAACCTTGCTAGGGTTATTACCCCACTTGGAATGTTGCTTTTTTTTCCTTCACTCCCTTCTAACTTGCCTTCCTCATAATATGGTCTGTTCCCAATTCCCTGTCCTGCTCTGCTAATAATTGTCATTGGTGAAAATGTTAGTCATCTGAGTGAGTAACATTCTGCTGTGGCTCGTGCCTTCCTGTTTGCAGGTAATGCCCCTTCCCGCCAACAACGGCACACGCTGGATCTCTTCATGGGTGAAGAGCAACCGGATAGAAATGCTGGTGGCAGACGAAAGTGCTGAACGAGGCACTGCAGCATCACGGCCCAGTAGCGCTCCAGGTAGTGCTGTGCAGTCACCTGTGCACCAGAAGAAAGGGCTGAATCTCCTGCCCGAGGTGGTCAGTATCATCTAACTCACCGCTGCATGTTTTTCTCTTTGATTTTCATGTTCTTTTCTTTGCTTTTTCTTTCTGACTTCTGCACAGTTTTAACACACGAATATGCATCTAGTCTGCTATAATGTTTCCTTTACCCAAAGACCTGGTTCCTTCCCCTCTTAACAAATCTGTATTCTCTAACTACTTAACAAAATTATCTATTTTGGCATTTTGGAAGATGGATACTAACAATAAAATTATTGATGTTAAGTTTGACTCACAAAACAAAACAATATTTTTGCAGGTATATCAACAAAAAGACATCTTTTCTCTCAGACAGAATAATTTTCTATAAAAGATGGGAGGGTGGAGGCATCCAGACTGTTGACAAAATAAAGTTTTTTTTTTTTTTTTTTTTTTTTGTTTTTTTTTTACTTTGTATTTTTTTTTTTTTTTTTTTTTTCCCAAATCAAAATTGTTTATACATCACCATTTCATGATGTTTATTTTTCCAGCTTCTGCTTTTGCTGTTACATGTTACTTTGGCTCTTTGCAACTGTAAAATACCATCCAAGTCAGAAATATTGAGACACTGCATTATCTTACTATAATTTTACCAGACTCACATTAATGTTCTAATAAAAATACCTTTCTGGTGCCTGGATTGCTATTTTCTGTTTCCATTTTTACTAAACCTTATGCAAATTAACTAAACAGCCTTAAACTACTCCAACTTGTCTTTAAAACTGTAATCACTTTTAGAGAAGAATGTGGACTCTCTTTTGCATAACAATATTTCTACAAAAATTGTTTTAAACTTTGAATTACTGGAAGAGGATATAGAAATTGAACTGTTCATATAATACCTCTATTTGTATCTCATAGTCTTTAGTTTGTGCACAATTGGCACACGCACCAATCCAAGATCATGTTGATATCCATCACATACAATTCCTTTAATTGTGCTATTTTCTTTCTACACTTGCCATCTGTTTGCCAAAAACAGAAAAAGAAACATTAGAAAATACATGTTGCCAGCTTTTGTAGTAATTTATAAACTTTTTTTTCTTACTTCTTTGGTCTTTGAAATAGTTTTTTGTTTTGCAAGGTCTTTCCCAACCATCAAACATTCAACCTGATACATTTTTTTTGTGCCCTCTGATCACTTCCCTTTTTATAATTGATGTATATCTTTTGAAGCTCTTGTCTTTTTCTGACTCAATATAGCTTCTTTTTTAAAGACTGATTCCAGGAATTTGTTGTTGGTATGTTCTTCAGGTTACATTCAACTTTTAAAGCAAACCATCACTTCCTTATACATGTATAATTTACTTTAGTTTTCAGGGCAGTGGGCTGGATGCTAAAAGTTTGTGGTTGCAATCTAGGTGAATTTCATTATTATTAATTCAAATGCAAACTTTACTTTCCAGCCTCTCTACCAAGTAACTTTTTACATTTGTTTTCCTTATACCATTGAGTGTGAAAAATTAAAGCACTGAATTGTTGATCCAGTTTCTAATTTTGGTGGTGGATGCTCATTATCACAAACAAGGAAAACTACTTTGCTCTTACTATATATATATATATATATATATATATATATATATATATATATATATATATAATTCATTTATTGTCTTTTTAGAACTACTTAATGGCTATAGCATTTTGAATAAAAAAACAAAAAAATATTGGATTATTCCAGAATAGAAAATGTTTGTTTAATAGAACTTTTGATGAAGTATTGTCATCATCATCATTGTTATTATTTATTAGTAATATGTATGTATATATTATTATTCTGCTGCTTTTTATCATTACTCTTAAGTGATTTTTACATTCTATGGATAAGTAGCATAGATAAGATTCCAGTAAGATTTGACCTCTCATTCTTTATTCTTAGGAACCTGTCTTACTGTAACTTAATTGTCATAGAATGTCGTAAAAGAACTTGAGAGTTCCAATAAACAGCAACAGAATAAAATTTAAAAAAAAAATAAAATTAATAAATTTTTTTTTTTTTTTTAAAATGATTCAATTTGTTTCTTTGTTGTTGGTGTATTTAATGGTTAATGGCATGAATAGAAGTACAATAACAATTGTCACATCCAGTTGACAGTTGTGAATAAATAACTTGCATGAATCTTGATTGCATTTTTCCAGCTTGTTGACAAATATAAGAATTACTTTTATGTTTATATCTTCAAAGTGAAGCAATTTTGCTTTTTCTCTACAGTAGTCACTGTTTCTGTAGAATGTCAGATTTTGGGCAATATTCCTTGTGGAGAAAACCAACTTACAGCCAAACCATTTACATCTAAGTTTTTTTTTTTCTTTTCTTTTCAAAAATCCCTTTGTTGCTAACCTCAATTGCCAGTCTCATGTACATACAATTTGTTTAATATGAAATTTATTTTATTTAACTTGAATACTTTCAACTTTTTGTTTGTCCAGTGGATTGTTACTTAAATTTCACTTAAATCTCTTCAACATCAATAATTTTATCATATTTTCCTTGCAGCCAACTCAGACTCCAATGAGAAAGTTATCAGCACGTGAACAGCGAGACTGTAATGTTATAGGTAAAATTCATTTTTTATGTGTTGCTTATATGATTCCTTTATTAATGATCATTTTAGTTTATCCTTTTATACCTGTAAAAGATTTTAGAAAAAGTTGTTTAATCAGACAAAGAATCAGGATCAATTTTTGACATAATCATTTTATGTTTACATAAATTTTGGTTAATTATTCAGTGTTCAGTGTCCTTGTTGATATCATTATTTAATATATTTTTAGGCTGCTTATTTGTACTCTATAATGCTTTTTTCACTCTTTACTAAGTATCTTGCATACATTTTTTTTAAAGCAATGTGGCAATAGAAAAAATAAACAAGATTTCATAAAAGTTAATTTTGTTATAATCTTTGTGCCATTAATAAGAGATTGGAGAACATTTTGATGTAAAAATTATTTATGTCAACTATAGTGCTGTTCGATAAAAGCAACTCACCTTATCCTTTGAATTTAGCTCAACTTTTGTTTCATCGGAGAAGAGAACATTCTTCCAGTGTTCTATGGTGAAATTTTTGTAATAGTGAGCCCATTCAAGTCTCTTGACTTTGCTTATTAGCGGCTTAAATCTTCATGTACAAGATTTGTAGCCTTGTTCTAACAAGATTTGTAACCTTGTTCTGACGGACTGTTGAAGAGGCATGTGTCTTCGCTTAGACTGGCTCCAACTTCTTGGCTATAGTCCTATTCTTCTCTCTTGATTACCCTGCCAGTTCTATCATCAATCTTTTCCTTTCGTCCCCTTGTTTTCTTCCTTGGAGCAGGAGTGGCATCATTACGTGCCCTAAGCACTCTAGAGACAGTTGATTGTGAGGTTATAGCAATTTTTCTCGTAGACTTGCCCGCTTTTGAGAGGGCAATAATAGATGCCTTAAGTGGTTCTGATGCGTGTTTGTACCCTTTCATCTGGTTAGTGACTTGAGTGGCTATTTCAAGCTATTTTTATGTTGTATGAGGCTTTCTGGAATACTCTAGATTTAATTTAAGCTGTTCTAGAATTCTCTAGAATATTGTTCTGAGTGTATTGTAAAATAGTTCTCAATATTTTGTCAAACTTTAAATTTACCAGTTTAATCCTTAGAATGCGATATCTGAGTCACTTTTTTTGCACAGTTTTTTCCTGAATCTCATTTATATCCAAATTTATAATTATCAATAGAATACTTTAGGGTGAATAAACTTTTTTCCTAGGTGGTCGGGAAGGGGTCTTTATATTTGTAAGATTAAAAATTATTTTAACCACAAAAACAATAGACAAAAAGTATTTTTAGTAAAAAAAATCAGCTGAGTCACTTTTATCGAACAGCACTGTATATAAAACCAGTGGTACTTGTGCTTGCAAAGTTGTTTAAACTGTAAACAGTTTTAGGTAAAAAATAAAAACAAACTCTGATTTGAAAAATCTGTTAACCATCAGATTTCAGTTAAAATTTTGGTATTTGTTTGTTTAGGAATTAATTTATTTAGGAAAAGAGTATTTTATAAGAAAAGTTCAGAAATAATGGATTTTTTTTTACCCCCATTCCCTTTAATTTCATGAAATTTTAATAAAATATTATTTTTGAGACAAAAAAATATGTATCTTTAACCTTTGTCCCAGAGAAATTAAATCAGTTAAAACTTCTTCCAGAGATTGCTTCTTATCCAAAAAGAAAAATGATAAAACTTTGAAAATATTTTATTATTATTTTTTTTTTATTTTTTTTTTTATTTTATTTTATTTTTTTTTTTAAATTAATATTTCAAAATTCCATCTTGTCATTATTTTCCTTAGACACTTTCAAAACATAATTATTAAAACAATTTTATTTAATAAAGTGTAAAGTTTCTAGCAGTCAATTACAAAATCTGACTTCAAACAATGATTTTATAATTGCCAATAAATTATTTTCATAAATTGATTTACAGATTCAACTGAAGTTTTGTTATCACAATAAAAGTATCACTGCAAATAAACTTATTGTTGACACCTGCAGATGAAAATGTATCAGAAAATACCAGGCATTTATGGTTTTGCAGTTTTTTTATGGTGCCAACTAAGAGTTATTTCGTGCTTGGTGTTAACAAAATCCAATGAACCAAAGATAATAAAAATTCTAAATTTTTCTAAATTTTATTTTACAACAGAAATATATCTACTATATTGTTTTATATGTTAAGATATCCAAGATTCTTACCAAATTCTGATTATACTTATCTTTAGTACTGATTTTTGTATTTTTCTATTACTTCTCTTTCCAGAGCGCTTAATCAAAGCATACTTTTTGATTGTACGTAAGGGCATTCAGGACAGTGTGCCAAAGGCCATCATGCATTTTCTGGTCAATTATGTTAAGGACAATCTGCAAAGTGAACTGGTCAGCCAACTTTACAAAAAAGAGGAGATCAGTATGCTTCTAGATGAATCTGAACATATTGCAGCACGGAGAAAAGAGGGACATGAAATGCTACAGGTCAGGCATTTTCCTGGGGCAGTGTGTCTTTGTTCAGAATTAATAATTAACATATTAAAGATGCTAAAGTTTGATATTTCTAGTGCATGCTTAATTGCAAAACAAATGTGTACACCCTGCCTTTTCTTTTTTAATGGTGGGAAAGGAAGGAATAATATAGGTACCTCCACGAGATCGCTAAAAAAAGAGCATAGCATGATGAAAAAAACGCCAAAACTTGACGAAAACAAAATTTTATTGTCTAAATGTTTGTTATTATTAAGAGGAAAGGTCAAAGTATTTTTGGGGGTATTTTTTCCATTTTTTAATCGTTCCTAGCACGTCCGAAATTTTCGTTAAAAATCTAGTTTTTTTTGAGTCAGCAAAATTGACCATTTTTTTTTTCATTTAAAAAAATCTGGAAATCTGACTTTGAAATTTTTAAAATATCAATTATCATTTTTCAAAACTTATTTTAAGAAAATCAGAAATTATAATGTTTATTTAAAATATTTTGAACCAAACTTAACTTAGCTTTTGTGCCAAAAAAAAGATGTAATTTGAAAATAAAACAAAGCAGGTCATAAACTTTTTATCTCTCTTGACATGTGATGAATGATATATTTACAATTCCATGAGACTAATTTGTTCTACGGAAGGAAAAAAGTGAAATAATTTACATTTACGTGAACAAATTATTTACCCCGTTATTTTTAACGAAAAACTTTCAGCGGTCTAATTTTTTTTTTTTTTTTTTTTTTTTTTTTACTTAGCTTTCACCTTTACGTTTATGATGCTTTATGGGAAATATATTGTAAAGAAATTAAAATAAAACTGTTAAGAGTGACATTAAATTTCATATTTCTTAAGAAAGGTATCTAATTAATTTATAGGTACCTTATGAAATTTTATCAGAATTGTACATAAAATACTATAATTTTATGTACATTTATTACATTCTACTGTTATTTGTATTTGCATTCATTTTATTATTAATTTTGATATTTCATTTATGGAAAAATGTCGTAACTGAGATTAATATAAAAAATAAGATCATATAAATTTCATAAGATGTTACTGATACTTGTAGGTACCCTTCTCAGTTGAAATTGAAAAATCAAATTAACTTCTCCACACGTGTTTACAAAAAAGTAAAGGCCTTAACAGCGGAGAACAATGCTTAACTCAAATAACGAACTTAATTATATTCTGGTTGGTCTTCCGTATTTTTATAATTACAGCTCGATTATAAGCACAAAATTACATTTCTTAATTACTGGGGATCTTCTGATTAGTCAAAATGATACAATTTACAACGCTAAAAAAGATCTATCTCATAAGGACACTTATGAAAGCCGATGTGGCTTTTAACTAATTTTATAATATTTTAACAACTTAAATGTAAAATCTATTATAATTAATGAAATAACAAATAATTGTATTAAAAAATTCATTTTTCATCGAAAAAATTTTTTGCTTTCAGAAAATATTGTCCATATTCATAAAAACAACTAAAAGCAAATAAAAGCATTTGAAATTAAATAATATCTTTGTTTTATTGAGTTTTGTATGTTACAATTCAGAGCTGATTTTCAGGTACTGCGTATCAATTAAAAACAAAAAAAAAACATGATTTGCATTCCTCAAAGCCCTGTGCTTTTTAATTATTGTAATCACTAAAACCGATGCGATCGAATTTCTAGCGTTTTCATAAAATTAGTTATGGGGGTAATAAATATTTTTAAAAATATTTCTACCATGACTTTCATAAAAAAAACATATTTATAATAATTTTGATCATCTGTGAATAGTTTCTGAAAGTTTCATTAACATCCGATAATTATTTCTATTTTTGCACGATTTTCAAATTAATGTGTCATACCAAAAAATCTGCTAAAATTGTCTGTTATTTACTAGTTCCGCTGATACAAATAGAAAAAAAGGTTTTTTAATCAAAATTTAGAATGTTCTAAAAAGAAGGAAAATTTTTAAAAATAATTAAAAAAAAACTTTGGTCTTTCCTCTTAATAATAACATAAGCATTTAGACAATAAAATTTAGTTTTCGCAAGTTTGGCGTCTTTTTCATCAAGCTATGCTCTTTTTTTAGCGATTTCGTGGAGGTACCTAAATAATATGTATATATCCTTGGTTTTTTTTTTTTTTTTTTTTTTGCATTCATTTTATAATTTTTTACATTTAAACAATTTAAATTCAATTCAAAGAAATTTTTTGCCTTGAGTAGCAAATTATCATTTCTGCTACTTTAGATGTACTTTTACATCTTTGTAAAACTTATATTGCCTGCAATTGACATGTAAATACATTTTTAAGACATTGTGAAATGTCAGTCTCTAGTGTTATAAACTATTTAGAGCTTAGTGCTATTTCCAAACCAGGTAGATATATAATAGCATACAATACAACCTGTTTTCTGATGCATTTTTATTATATTGTGTATTGGAGTTGTCATTTACTTTAGTCTAATACAGAGAATCCTCTTGAAGCCAAAATGGTAGTTCCCATGAAAAATTACCATCAGTATCTTTATAGCCATTTATTTCTAGTAAATGGCAATTTCTTATTTTTTTCAAAATGGGCCAGCACAGCCAGGCCTATTTTGCAGCAGTAAAATTCTTATTTATAGATTAGACTTTTGGTTCAGAGATTAACTCACAATGTGAGCATATATATTTTTGATTGTATAGTTGTATATATATATTCAGCAGTAAATATCTTCAACAATGAAAATGTTTGAACATATGGAGTAAACCGTTTTTTTTTCCTCTTTTGCAGGCTCTACAACGTGCCAGTCACATCATAGGCGAAATACGTGAAATCCATTTATGGTGATGAGATGCTATGTGTGGCAGCCTTATTGCTACTCTTACAAACATTTTAGCAGGGACAGGTTGGCATCCACCATTGCTGCTGTCTTTGCTCATAACACTACTATCTCCATTAGGGTTGCTCTTCAGGAGATTTTTTTGTTTTCGCCTCCTGATCTGTCAACACAATACAGATTGAGTGGAACTAATGTTTACATACCCCAAGGTTTAATTGAATTCTAGGGTATATTCCTATAACCAGATCATGACAGATAATGTCACTGGTGGCAGCAGCATCAACAAAAATCACATCTTCAGCCAGCCCCTGATGATGATGATGATGATAGTCCTTACATCATCATCATCATCATTATTGTTAGTTTCTAAATGACTTCCTGAGAAATGAAACTCTTTGAAAGATTTCACCTGGCCGGTGTTGAAACCTGATCTCAGTTCAAAGAAATTAGTCAAATCTTTTTCTCTTTACTTTTTGTTCTCATTCTTTGAATTTTTCTGGCATATTACCTGTAAACAAATCTTTCAAGCCTTCAGAATTCAATTTCTATTCATTTGAATGTTAAAAGGAAGTCAACATCTAATGAAATTTTTAATTTCTTTTTTTTTTTTTTTCCTTAAATGAATTTTTGTTTGTTTTTATCCCTGTTTGCTGTACAGACACAAATGAATTTTGTTGACTCACATTTCTTTAATGACAGTTTGTTGTAAATGGGATGTGATGATGAGTGTTGTTTGAATTTTGTTCTTCTATTGGCTGTGTATGCACCCAGTGGCTCTTCATGGGAGGAGGCAGGTTGGAGAAGATTGAGTTGTGATTGCATTCCACATTTGCTGCCTGTTGATCAAAGGGATCAAAATTCTGTTCTGTTTGTCTTCTCAAAGAAAAGCGGATTGAGGTGAACTTTTTTGTTTGTCTTCATCTTTGTTGCATTTCTTATTACATTTTGGTAATCAGGTAGCATGATTTGTGATAATTCCTACATTCTCTTCATTCATGAAGGACTCTTAAATTACAGATAATATTAAAAAAACAACCAAGATGAGGATGAATAGTTAAAAAAAAAACAAAAAAAAAAACTCTTAAGATTAAACTTTTACGTATTGGATTTATTGAGAAGAGATAGTAAGCAGGCAGTTACCACACAGTGGGCCAATCAATTTGTGAGAGTACAGGAAGTCTTCTGAAAAATATTTCTGCTCCTCTTTTTTTTTTTTCTTTTTTTTTTTTTTTAAAAAAAATAGTATATCATTTATTTGTATGTAATTTTTTTAATATACTCTTTTTTTCTAATCCAAATGGAAGACATTTTACTAAATTCTTTTAACAAAATCTGTAAATGGCCAGTAAAAGCTACCTACCACCATCAACATTTAATTTTCAACTGCTAACAATTTTTATAAGGGAGTTTTAAAAACAAAAAAAAAAAAAAACGTACTTATTTCTTCAAAAACTAAAACTGAATGAACAAAATGCATTTGGCTTATTTTGTTTAACTGTTGACTTTCTCTATATATATATATATATATATATATATATATATATATATATATAGGCAAAATAGGTGAAACTGCTTTAGTCTTATGTATTACAATTGCCTTTACTGTTTATGTTGGATAGGAGTTAAGGTGAGTGAGAAAAACCTCACTTATCTTGTCTGTTAATAGTGTACTTTTAAGGTCACTGATATTTTAGGTCTTGGGTTCAATTGCTGACTGCCTTATGAGAGGAGGACAACTGCATTTTGGACTGCAGCTACCTTGGGATATAGAAAAGAGGGGCCTAATAATTGCCCTTTATTTATTCATAGTGACAGTTTTCTCCTTTTTCAGTAATGTTATTAAATGCTATTATTGAAATTTCTCTCTCAAATATGATTTTTTTTTTCTGATGTGCTTAAAGCTGGAGCCAACCAGTCAAATGCTTCCTCTCCCTATATGTAGAACTTATTTGCTCTCCCCCTCCTCCAATGTTTAATTCTAGGAAGGGCTGGACTTGTGATTGATTGTTAGGTAAAAATATGTGCTGTCTTTTAAAATTGTTAATAAAATTGTTTGTTTATAAGACTTGGCTTCTTTTTTGCTTTCTGAACCAAAATAATTCAAATTGAGCTCCATCTGTTTCCTTACCAAATTGATAAACACCAACATTACTAAGTTCTATTCCTGGGCAATGAATTTACTAAAAACCATGCATTTATTATAACAAAAATTACTTGTTAATTTAAACCTTCTCCCAGTTATAAACTGATATGCCAAAAATTTTTGATACAACAGTATGCTGAAGTGTATCGCTGGATGACGTGCATGATGTACCAGGTAGTGTAGCTATAAGACCATGCAACTGTAGCAGCTACAGGATGCAGACAAAATTTGATATTGTTTGACCACAGAATAATTATCGGGACCAGAAAGCAAATGTGCTAGGACTTGTTTTTCTCATGCAACAGTAGTAAGGACATACCAGGAATATGTAAATTATGGACAAATACCACTGGCAATTTGAAACTGGGTGTCCAAAAGTGTTACAAGATTGGGATTGTGCTCAACTGACATGGTAACTGTCCTACAAAGGGGATATTGCATCAAATCCTTACCAATTTCAATGCTGGTACTGCTTAACACTATCTATAGCATATAATGCATTCCATGGGTTTTTGTAGTTGTCAACTAATATGGATGTTATTGAAACTATGGCATTGGTTACTGCACCTAGCCTGGTCAAATGAGTTCCATTTCCAACTCTCTCTTTTCTTTTCTTTTTTTTTTTTTTTTTTTTCAGAAACTTTGTGTGGAGGAGACTGTATATATTATGAATCCGTTTTGTGAACAGGGTGTGGTGTTTTTTTTTTCTTTTCCAGTATCGAAACTGGAATCTATCTTAACAGACATTATGTACACAGAACTTATAGACAATTTGCACTCTTTGATGCTCACTATGTATCCAGGTGGTGATGGTTTGAACACAATACCCCATGATGCATGGGGCACACAAAACTGACTCCAGTTACACCCTACAAACTTCCAGGTAGTCCATTGGCTTCTGTACTTTCCAGATTTTAAACTCCATTGAACATATTTGGGATGTGTTCTAGACCTTGCTAAATTCCTTGCAGCTACAATTCTGTTATCGCCAGATCCAGGACATGCCAAGTTAGATAATAGTCATTAAGTGTCTCCAACAACTTGTAGACATGATGCCATATTGTGTAGCTGTTGTTATTCAGTTGAAAAAAATGAGTGATACATTAAGTAGCCATTTCTTTTCTTTTTTTTTTCTCCTCACTTCAGTTTAAATAGGATGGTTGCTTGCTCTTGTTAACCAATTCTACATAATAGAAATATGTCACTATTTAATAGGTATGAACCTGCATTTTTGAGAGGTCTTTGACACCATATTTTAGAAATGTAATTAAAGTTTCAAAAATGTATTTTTACAATTCTTGGTTTTGCTAAAAACAAAATTTATATCTTTTTAAAAAATAGGAAACTCTTTACATTAATTAACATAATTGTACTGTTTAAAATCAAATGATTTCTTTTTCTTTTAATTCAGTTTGAAGATGAGTTGATAGAAAAGGAACTGCAAAAAAAGTTTTTTTGTTTTTTTTTTTTTACTTAAGAAAGACAATGAAAAATAAGCTTTTTAACACTAGAATTGCTTTATCAATTATTACATGTTAATGTTAGTGCATGATGTCTTTAAAATTAGATGATTACAATTATTTGTTGAAAGCTGCACATTGTGTGGAGAAGACAAGTATAATAATCTATGTTTTGCTCAATGTCTCTTATATGCTATGTCTTTTCAGGATGGTGATCATAGCTCTCCCAAACATCCTGTCTTTTGTTGCTCTAAGTAACTTTTGTCTCTTTACTACTACTTTTTGTTCTTGTTCTGCCATCCATTCACTAGAACTCCTCAAATAGCTTTCTCACTGTTTTCTCCCCGTTTCTTTTGCCTTCAGTAAGCCTTCTTTCTTCATTGTGTCCCAGAAATTTCAGCTGTCTCTTTCTGATTGTTGTTAGCAGTTTCTTTGTTACATGTTCTGTTTTTAGTGTTCTCGTCATTCATTAGTAGAACCACTTCTCTGTTGTTTCAAGAATTTTCTTCATCTCTGACAAGATGGCTCAACATTCATTGTCGTCTTGGAGATTATAACAGTTTTCTTTGTTTCTAAGGACGTTTTCCTCTCTCTTAATACTTTTGCTTAGTTTCTGAAAGGCAACTTACACTATTTCTATACACCTTTGTATTCCTGAGTCATGCATTCTTCTGTCTGTTACTACACTATACAGTTAAATTTCTGCACCTGCTTGATTTTGACATCCCTGATATGTAGCTCACAACTTGAGCTGACACTTTTACTGACAGTCTAACATTTTGTCTTACAATCCTATATTTTTTTCTTTCTTTTATCGTGTGTAAAATCCAAAGAATCAGCAATATTATTGGTCCTAACCTGTCATCTTGGCTTCAGTCATTTTCTCATTATTGTAATGTAGCTTCCCTGTACCTTTTCTATAAATACTTTCCTGGTAATTGCTTGTGTGAATTCTTCACTATGGTACCTAGACTTTATAAATTTATGCACAGTATTAGATTGGCGGCAATGTTTCATCAATTTACAGATGAATTGGCTAGATTTAACCATAAATTCTATGCTACCAGTTTTTCTCACTCTTTTTGCTTGTGGAACTCTTCTGGCTTTATGCTTTCCAGCCAACTTTGATCTTAAAATGCAATGTCAATCCTTATCTTGTCCTCTTGATTACTCTTCTATTGTTCTTGCTCCTTAATAATGTTTTGCTTTTTTCTTATTCTTTCACACTCAGTAACCCCATGTGTCTTGATGGCTCTACTGCTTTGCATGGGGGGTGGGTGATATTAAAAAAAAAAATTTCTCAGTCTTTCAGAGTCTGCCATCAATGCAATGCCATGTGCAACTTGTTATGGTTTTATCCGTCAATAATAAATTCTGTTAGTTTTCTTAGCATTGTTTCATTGTACAGGTTAAATAAATCTGGTGAGAAAACATCCTTGTTATACTCATGTTTTTAATTTTGTCTATTCACTAAACTCATTCTCTATCCACATGCAAGCTGTTTGTTCCCAAAAGAAGTTATTGATTACTTGAATATCTTTCCCATGTAAACCAAGCCTTTCTAATATTTCAAGCAACTCTTTGTGTCATAATCTATGAAACGTAGACACACGTCTTCCTGTATTTGTGTTGCTCACTTTGATAGCATTTTGATCATAAAAATTGCATTTCTTGTTCCAGTATCTTGAAAAAAGTTCCACTGCTCTTGCTCTATTTCTGGTCTACTAGTACTTTGAGTTAATTTTATTAGAATCCTAATGATTAATTATATGGCTCATCAAGCTGATTGTCTGATGTTCACATTCATTTACACCTGGCTATTAAGATAATTCTACTGTGTTCCAGTATTTTGCCACACTCATGTATTTCATTTATCATTTCAGTAACCTTGTCAATCTCGGAATCATGAAAGGACATCAGCATCTCTATTACTGTAATCTCAACTGATTCTTTGTTACTCTTCATATTGGCCAATACTGATCTAACCTCAGATTTTAATACTGTAGATCCTTCGATATTTTTATATATTTCTCTCTTCTGTCATTCTGGAAGAACTTTCCAATGTATTCATCTCATATCTCTAATATCTTTTTTGTTTCCATTATTAGATTTTATGTATTCTGCTGAAGGGCATGTTTTCTGTCTTGTGTCTTATAATTTTTGTAGATGCCTGCTACATCTGTGTTCTGCAGTTTTACACTCTTTCTACTCTTGAGCCATTCATCTTTTGCTTGCTTTATAATGTTTTTCCTTTAATATTATATATCCTGCACCATTTCTTATTGTTATTTACTATCTTTCTTTCATTAGATCGAGAAAGATCTGTCTTTTTTGTTTCTGTTCCCTTGAAATTTTGCTGCTGCCACAAATACTTCCTTTAAGGCGTTCCACTGAGTTCTTGACCTCATGCAAAGTTTGATATTTATTCTTAACTTCAATTTCATATGTTCTGAAGTTTTTTGTATTGCGGGATAGAGCTCAAGAATTCAAGGTATTTTTTGCTGACTGCACTGTCATTGTTGAGTTGCATTTGTGAATGCTACCACCAGTTTTAACTATGTTGCAACTAGTCGTGCAGTAATCTATCCTCAGCTATGTTGCAACTAGCATTGTATTTACCTGTCAAATCATAAGGCCATTCTGATGATAACAAACATCTATTTATTATTATCTTTTTTGTTTGTAGCTGGAGTGAATGCTAGTCTCAATACAATTATGATGACTTTTTTCATCTCTAGTCTTTCCTTTAAGCCAATTTTTTCCTTTTTAACTCCGCTTCATTCTTCTGACTCCAGCAGAAGTTAGCTCTAATAGCCAGGGGACAAGAAGGGCTTTATTGACTGATTGGAGCTTCTCCCTCCTCATCAGTGCAAATGTGAACCTTTCTATTTATAGTTTTTGGACACTGGAATTGCTATGATTGTCGGGCAAAGAAGATTCTTGTGATAAAACCCAGAAGCTAATAACTGAAACTGCTAGATAAACACATAAATATATTTCTTCATTTTCCAAAGAACAGTTGAGTGATAAGAAATACATGTATTCTGTGGGGAATACGAAAATATTTGGATAATTTTTGCTCATTCAGTCATTCAAGAATTCTGTTATATACACCTTTGAAATTAGGAATAAAGTTTCCACTCTCAAAGCCCTAATCAAGCATTTTTATACATTCTAATTAACTATTTTGTTTGGTTTCTTTTTCCTTTTATAGTTTTCTCAACTTTATTTGCTTAGTATAACTACTTTGTTCACTCCAACCACAAAACATTATTTATATGCTGCTAAAATTTTGGGCAAAGTGGTTACTATGCCACACTATTGTAGCTTTTGCTTTAGTTTGAATATGATTGTTACCAATCAGCATTTAAATGAGTTTTATAATGTAGTACTGAACTCCTAAGTTATTTGTTAATAGTTAGGTAGTATGTGTTTTGTCTATTCCCAAGCTTTTTCTATATCCACAAACATTGTGTGTTCTTCAGATCAGGTGTAGGCTATTACTTGCTCATTCACTGTGCACCAATGAATCCAATTCTATCCTTATCTTGTTTTCCTTCTTACTTTTGCATTTAGGTCCCAAAATGATGATGATGATGATGATGATAATAATTGTGATTTACGCTGATATATGGCATTTTCAAGTTTTGTAAAGCATCCGGGGGGGGGGGGGTTATGATGGCATTATTGAATGATTTCTTTTTTCAGTTTCACCAGTAAAAACATATCCTCCTTGGTTTTGATTAGTTTGACTTTTTCATTTCTCTTTCTACTTGCATATATATTTCTGTGGTTGTCACAATCTGGAACACTCTTTATGAGAAGATAATTTCCCTTGGAAACTTTTTCCCTCAGCAAAAAAGAGATAACTATTATGACACTACCAGGCTTCCATACTTGCAAATAAGCATAAAACATCCATGAAATATTTTCCTCATATCAGTATATGCAATAATAGGTTTTTAATAACACAATCTCAGTCAAGGTACAATAGCAAAAAATATAAAACAAAAGTCAATAATGAAATATTCAAAAAGTTCCAAAAAATAAAATGAATATTTTTTTTCCTTTTTACACAAAGTATAATTAAATAATAAAACTAAAACGTAAACAGGAAGCGCAATAAGGCATCTGTATGGATCTTCTGGTAATTTTTTTTAATATAAGTGTGGAACACTCATTAAAGGCACAATTGTATTAAAATAAATCATCAAATTAAATAAAATAGGTTTAACTCCATTTTTTATATTGCTTTTTTTACTAAATAGAATTATTAAAATTCAATAATTAGTTATAGTAGATTTTGCTTCTTCTTTTTCTTAGTGTTTTTGCCTAAAATGTTTCTCATGTAGGTTTTAAATGTCATCAAAATGTTATAACTTTTTTCAATCTTTCTTTCAATTCCTAACACAAAGAATTTGATGATAAATTCAACTTTTATACAATTTTTTTTATCAATATTCTCTACAAGTTATTATTTACTGTTATTTTACATCAAGTTTGTTTGTATTTAAGGAGGTCTTTGGCTAAACAGGTTATTTTTTCTTAATTAATTTTTGATTTTTTTTTCTCTTGATCTATCGACACACACATTTTGTTACAATCTATGTCAGTTAAAATAAGCAGCAGGAGTCAAAACTAAGGTAGCGGCTTTTGATGAGATGAATTCACACCTCATATTTCAAATTATGTTGCCTATGCCAGTTTGGTTGTAGAGGCTAATGGGTGGTTCTTTCAAGTGTACATTTTACCAGATGTCAGAATATATATTCAGTTAATCATCTTCATGATAGTCTTTGTATATGCACAGTAAATTCACTGACTTGTAAATGAAACTATGATAATTGTAATAACATTTTTATTTTTGTATTTATTATCTCTTTAAAAAAAATTATTATATAATGATTATTGCTATACTTTGAAAATTAATATTAGTTCAAATATTCTTGCTACACTCCACCTCATAAAATCATTTTTCATTCAGTAAACAGAAAAGAGTTGAAATAATTTTGCTGAAATGCATTTAAGGAAGTATAAACCAGAATTTGGGTTGTTTTACATCTTTACAGTATGTGGAAAATGGAATTGATTTGAAATTTCAGGTTAGTCTATCCCCATTCACTTCCCCACTAATCTGTCTCTTCTCACTAACTATGGGTTAAATAGTAGATTAGGCAAGGTTCTCTAGCCCTGCGTACCAACCAATCTAAGAGAAGGAAAACTCTGAATTCCAAACCATGGATAAGTCAACAAGAAACCACTCCACTATTATTATTATTATTAAGAAATGCATGGCAAATAACAAATAATGAAAAGGGAAGGCATTAAAAAAAAAAACTAACAAGAAATTGAAATGCTTTTTTATAGCAACTCTTACAGAATTTAATGTTATTCTGTTGTAGAAAATTTATCACTTTGCTGATTGTGTAGGGAAAGAAGTAGCATATAAAAATATTAGCCTTATTTGAAACACTTTGAAATTTGATATTTACATTCTTTATACTTAGCTTAACAGTTAAAGTAGTTGGGTGTTCATCCGGTTTCTCTACAGCAAAAAGAGTTATGAGTTTGAATCTCACCAAGAGCTTATCTTTTGTTTCTGTGCTCTCTACTCACTGCTATAGGTTGATGGTCAAAATTTTAAATGGAAAACACTAATCAAGAGAAAAATTAAAATTAGTCATTCTTTTTTTCTTTTGATTTTTAAACTTTAAAAAATCCTTTCCATTTGAAATTTATCTTTAATAAACTGTTTTACCTCTGAAAAAAATTGTTTTTAACTCCAAGCTGATTTTGGGAACATGAAATAAGGTCGTGTTGGTGTAGCATTGTATTTTCTTTTTAACTCTTCAGCCTTAACCATCTTGGAAATGCTGCCGTCAAACAGAGGTCTGCAAAAAATGAAGAAATAGACAAGATAAAATGGAAAGTGTTTTCTACTAATGTTTTCTTTGTACAATCAATAAGAAAAATGTTTGTAAATTTCAATATTTTCATTGCAACTAAATCTTAAAAAAAAAAAACCTTTCGCAACGAAGATTGGTAGAAATATTTTTTACTTAATTACCTCCCTTAGACTTTTTTTTTGTTTTGTTTTTTGTTTATTATGAGTTTGCTGAAATGTTTAGGTTGATAAATGAAAAGAGGAACCTATGCAAATGTACACTTCTCCGATCTTAATTTTTTCGTCCCAGATTTCTAAAGTTATTCATTTTGTTTTGACTCGTTACTTTTAAACTGCTACACAAGAAAAAAATTATACCAACTAGTGTAGAAAGGTGAAATATTTTTTAAAACTCATCCTAATAAACTAGCATGAATTGTAATTTAACCTAGGGAAAATATATGACAGAGTGGAAAAAGTTTTCTTGTGATGCATTTCATCCTTTAGGACTTCAGTGGACTAAATTTGTTATGTTGGTGCAACTACACATGCACATGAATCAGAGATGCTGGGAATTCATTTTTCTTTTTTTTTTTTTTTTTAACCTAGCCAATTTCATTTACATTCTTTTTCTTTTCATCACTTTTGTTAGTAGATATCTCACATTTTAACAAAAAAAGTTCTGCCAGGAATGGTGAAATATTGTAAGAGACCAGGTGCAAATATACTATAAATAGTGAATTGTTTTCTCCTTTGATCAGAGTAGTATTTATTATGTCAAAATAGTATTCAGTCTGGTCATGGTGGGCAACCAACATATTTGATATATTGTTTTGTAAAATGTCTCTTTTGTGTACATATAATCTTTTATTTAGATTCCTTGAGCTTTCTCCTATGTATTTTTAGGACAATTATTACAGGTGATTGAGTAAATTCCTCATTCAAGTTTTAGCTTATTGTTTTGTTTAGTATTGACTAAGTCTTTTATTGATTTAGATGTAGTAGTAACACATTTTATGTTGAGTTTAGATAGATTCTTTCCAATTGTAGATGTGATAGAGTTGGTAGGACAATATATTTTTTTGATTCATTGTTTTTCAAAATTTAAATGTACTTTTTAAAATATCAGGTGCAATAATTAAACAAAACAAAAAAAGACAACTATGTCTTGTACAGGATCACACTGCTAAAACATGGTAATTTTCTATAAATAGTATATAAATGACACTAAATAATACAATATGAAAAATAATTATAACATCTACCAAGTGCTTTTACAGAGGTTTGTAAGCAAATATTGATGCTGCAAGAATGTTTAGTTCAACTTTTTAATAGATTTAAGACCAGACTATTGCTCTGTTTGTCATTCCTTTTCAAATGGGATTTGTGTAGCACCAGTTCATCATCAGCTTTGAGTCCTATTAAGTAAGCAACTTCATAAATAGTTTATCTCTATTTCATAATAAGAACAACAAAATGATACATTAAACAGTTTCTTAATATTTGCTTAATTATTTTAGTATGATACCAAAATAAATAGTTGTACTTGTAGAAGAAAATAATGTAACATTCTAATCAAGTCTTCAAGTTTGGCGTCACAAAAAAGTGGTGGGAATGAATTAAATCAGATGTTAAATTTTAAAGATTCTTGATACTATTATTATTATTTTTTTTTTTTTTCAAATCCTCATAAAACGATTTTTTTTCTTTTTATAAGCCATTAAAAATTAAGAAAAACATATAATAATGGAAACGTTTTAAAAACTAAATGTTTTTTTGGGGGTGGGTGAGAAATGAAGTTTTCTGACTTATTTTGAAAATTAACAGCAATAGTGATTTTAGGCAAATGATACAAGCTGACTCAGAAGCATTGTTATAGATTGAGGCCAAGAAGACAAATTTAGTGTTCTGTTTAGTTCTCAGATTTTGGAAAAAGTTCCTACAACACAGCACCAATAAGAATTAACATGAAAAGTTAACCAATATTTAGAAATTTAGTACAAACAGATAATGTAAATTTAAATAAAAATTTCTTGCATCCTCTCACTGAAATAGTGTTAATTCTATAAGGAGAGAAATCTTTTATTACACTGTCAGATTTTATTACTCAAGTTAATGTTTTCATAATAAAATTGGTATTAAATGATAAATACTGGTCGAATTTTCAGGATATATTTATATGAGCAATGTATCTTGTTTCTACTTAGAATATATGTCATTTAAAATATTGATTACTTATTTTACAGTTGTCAGGGTTTTATATTAAAAAATTGTTTTGTATTTATAAAAGTTTGTTGCATTTTGTAAATATAAATGACATGGACCATAAAAACATTTAATTCATTCAGTATCAATAAATTTTTCTATTTTACATATTATATGAGTTTCATATTTTATAATCTTCCTTAGTTTTTCATTCATTGATTTTGTTAATTTTTCTTCTGTTTCAATGTTAAAATTACTTGCAATATTTTTTATTGCTTTCCAGAGATTTTCTTTGCCTGAATATTATTTTCAATTCTCATCTACATTTTTAACATTTTGGTACTTTTACAAAAATCAGTATAAATATGAACAAAACTAAAGTTGCACAATAAAATTTAGCACTTCAAAATAAGATATTATACATATTTGTAATAGGTATTATCAACTGAAATTCACATAGCATATCTATCATAGAAATATATCTTGAAGATATTTTCAGTATAGGTTGATTAATATCAATCTTATTGCAAAAACATTGACTTTCAAAATTTGACAAATATATATATTATAAAATTTTATTTAGTGAACCCCTTTTAGTCAAACAAGTTATTTCACTATTATGGTTTGGTGAAAAACTGCTAAGCTCAAAAATCTATCACAGCAAGCAGAAGATGATGTCTGAAATGAGATTAGAAATCACCTGCCTAAAACTTTTCTTTGAGTTTATCACTTACTTGTAAGCAATAAGGTTCAGATTATTCTTCCTTAGTTTCCCCAACAAAACTGCCATGTGCCTCTGCAATCATTTCAGAAGAAAAATGTGCTTATGTCATTGGTGCATTTTGTATATGTATATATATATATATATATATATATATATATATATATATATGACAAAAAATCTTTTTTTATGCATTTTAATGTTTTTTTGTTTTATTTGTTTGACATATGGAAGCCCCAAAAAATGTGTTGGAAAAATCACTAAAAAAAAAAAAAATAAGCAGCATATTTTGGACTGGCCAGTTTGAACTAAATCCAAAAATGAAAAATATTAAAAAAATGTCACTTGTTTTTTTTTTTTGTATAAGTGGCTTACATGATATATATATATATATATTCAAAATTTGATTCAGTGCATGTAATTTTATTTCTAGCTTTTATGCATACTGAAGCTACGACTTTTTATGTTTATAACAGTTCTTTGTATAATTTCGAATTATCAATTTGAGTTTTTCTAAGCTTCTAATTTTCTTGTTGATAAACTTAAATATTATCAGTAATAATCTGTTGAGGATTTCATTTTTTTTTTTTTTAAATGTAGTAGTTAAACATTACATAAAATATATAATATTTCAATTGCATTACAAACTTTGCTGCTAACTCTGTTTAATCAACCCATTATGTAATATAGTTTCTAAAGGTTTACATACTAATGTATGACTTACCAAAGTAAGGTAGAATCCTGTCTTTTCCAAACAAAATCTCATATGCTCTTTTCCCAAGTATTCTTGATTATCTTTATCAGTTTTTTCAAAGAGGGAGCGCAGTGCCACTTTGTGTTCCAGCACAAACCGTTCTAGCCGAGACAAATATATGTAGCATAGCTGAGACAAAAAGGGATAAGCATGAAGACAAAAACAATTTCAGAATATTTCATTTCACTATTTTAATTCAATGAGGAAACGAAAATGGAAATTTGATTTTTATTTTGACTTAATAAAACTTCATAATTGATTTTATTGCCTAAATATATTAGGAAAAGACACTAAAAAAAAAAAAAAGTTTAAGGTGGGGGGGGTGCCTATTAATAACATTTTAGATCAAACTGTTTATTTCATGTGATTGAGGAAAAAAAAAAGTATCTATAAAATGTCCAAATACAGGTCGGCTATGAGTTTCAAGGAAATGATTCCTGTTCCAGTTATTTGATTGGTTCAGACATTTGTATAAGATATTTGATAAGTCTCAATATGATGGATATTCTAGGATAGGTTTATAACTTTGTAAGTTGTATTAGCATCATATGGATGCACCATGTCAAGGTTGTTTATGAGGGTGGTAATAGCTTTTTGTTGCTACAGTCTGTACATATAATGTAGTTATGGGTAAGTGACTTGTTTAATTCTCTGTCTTGCCTTACACTCTGCTGCCTACATCTCTTGCAGAGGAATAAGACCCCTTTGGGTGAATATTTGCAGACTGTTATAAACCTGACCAATGTCTACCTTTTTTTTTTTGACTCTAGTGTAAACTGAATCAAATGATTTCTGTCCTATAAAACTCATGTTTGACAAGAAATAGTCTAACAAGGATTGAGATTTTATTGAATGAATTAATCTAACTGTATTCTTTATCAAACCTTGTAACTTGCTTGCAATGAAACCTTTTTTCCAAGATATTTGGTATTAGGACAGAACACTGTGAGAAGTGAATTCATGCTTTTTCCCCAAGGGTGGATCAATTATAAACAAATTTTAGTATAGAAGATAAGGAAATTGAACATAGACTAGGCTGTACTCAGGGTAATTTCACTTAACACTGCATGTTACTACAAAACCCAAACATTAGCCTAAAAACTTGAGTCACACTCTTAAATAGCCTCATCAGATCAAGACTTTCATACAAATGTCAAGCAGGGCATCAAACTTATTCAGGAACATTTAAACTGTCAGCTACATGCAATGGCTTTCTCAGACCAATGGTTAAAAATGGCTTTGAATGAAGCCTGTAGGTCTTAGCACAGACCATCATTTGAATCTTGTGAACTGGTGTCACAGAATTACAAAGAAAGAACTGTGCCAAATAACAAAAACCACATCACTTTCAACAACTAAAATGGATAGCACATGTAACTTGATAAGAATATAATGACATAATCAATATGTTGGATGTTCTACACAACTTCAAACAAAAGGTTAGTAAGTAAGACCTAATCAATATTGAAAAGAGTGATTAGGGTTAACTGACTTGAGAAACCAGTTTTCCTGAAAAATTGTTTTAATAGAAAGATTTTATAAATTCCAACCAACAGTAGATTTAGCTGCTTGGTCAACAAATGCTATTTCCATATAAGGAAACTGTTAACATTACCATAAAAAGCACCTTTAAGCCTGAATTTTAACTTCTGCATATGAGTACATAACCACCAAGCTTTCATACACATTATGTAATTGGATTAAACATGGCTCCTCCCATATTACAAGATCTTCAGCAGAGTGAAATTGTTCACTTAGATGTTTGAACTGTAGATATTCAAGCAAAGAATTGGTTGGTTGATTTTGTTTAGTGGCATATCAACCTCTATGGGTTATTTAATGCTGAAATCTAAATATTTTGAATACAATTAATAAATAAGTATTGTTGGTAATTTTTTTTGTTTTTTATATAAAAATGTATTTTTATGTTTTGTTTTTGTTTGGTGGTTCACTATTTGCCAATAGCTGGGACCCTAACAGGTGTTACTACTCTGGGGCAGGGTGGACCTGGGAACAACAGCAATTAAGAGGTGTTTCCATGTTCCCAATCAGAGGCCTTGCTGCTGAATGTCGTTGATCATCATATCCAGGGCTAACCAATCAAAGTAAAAATTCTTTAGAAACTATCAGGAAATGCAGGGTGACATAATCCAGTCTACTTCCACAGTGAAATGAATCTATGTATGAATTTCTGAGATGAGGAATTATCACTGATGTTCTCATCTTCACTTCTGTGCCTTCTGGCTTTCTTCAGGTATCTGTTGATCCAGGTAACCTTCAGAGAATTTCAAACTGAACCCCTTTATTTAATCTATAGGGGTGGATTGTTCTTGTTTTGCTATCCATGTCTAAAGATATATCCTTTTTTAATACTATATTTAGATATGGCTAGGTAACGTAGACTCAATATTAAAAAAAAAAAGAAGTTCTTAACAATATTTATTGGAAATTTCAGAAATAAATGAACAAAATCAAAAGTATAAACAAATAATGGCCAAGTGGTTAGAATGTTTACATTCTGACCATGAAACCCGGGTTTGAATCTCACCATGGTCAATTTGTCAGTAAGGAGACTTTCTGAGGGTCGATCCCAGTGTGTGGCACCTTTGGAAAGTGCCTGAAAACCATACCATGAGTTGACTCAAGCCTTGTGAATGAAATTGGGTAGATGGAACACCTGGGGGTCGTCGATAGCTGTACTAGCACAAAGTCACGAGTCATTGGGGCCAACGGCTTGAGCGTGTTGGTCTTGTTCAAATTGTTGATTACGCTAGATAACATGCTCTTTTCCAGAAACTATAACATAGTTGCAGTATAAACCACAGGTGGGCTCTGTGGGTGTCGAATAAACACAAATGCGTTTGAGCAAGTGTCTGCAATAGGGATTGGCTAGCTGCCCTAGTAGACAGGTATCCTCGAATACGTGTGGCCAGCTATTAGGTTTATATATATTTGACTTCGATTGGAGAAAATCCTCTTTAATTTAGGGCAGTTAAAATTTACTTACAAGTCAAAACTTGGTAGCTGTGGGTAGAAAGTCAGTTTTGGCTAAGTCGTTGATAGTTTAGAAGTCAGACTTTGGTAATAGTTGTTATCTTGGAAATCAGTGCAGCGTCAATCTGCTGTGTTTTCTCAGCTTTCGGAAGAGTGGAAAATGTCTTAAGCAGATGACACACTTGACTTGCATAGGTTAATAACAAAATAAATTCATTTATTATATTTTCTAAAACTATTTATTATTTTTCTATTATTTGTAAACTCTTTTAACCTCAAAGTACATATCAACTTTCATCAATGTTATCCATGATGCTACAAGTGGATGGTAACTTACTTTATCTAAATGGCTGTGCATATCTGAGGCATCATTCTGTAGTACTGTCTTTGTTGGCAAATGTTGCATCTCAAACATTTGCTGGAAAATTCTTTCACTAACACGAACACCCTATCAATGATAAAAAAGGCTCATTAGTTTTAGAGTGAGAAAATAGTAATCATGTACAATTGGCTTGGATCAACTAATATGAAAGAAAATTTATTGACAGTTTCATTTTTGAAGAGCTGAACTCATTATTGGTGGTTTTGTTATGTATGGTAACACTTTAAAATATTGTCTATTATGTGATATAACTAAGAGTCTTAGTCTCTCTTCTTCTTTCTCTTCAATATGAACTTTCATAGCATTTATTTTGCAGCAAATTGCTTTCCTTAATATCACTCTTTTTCCTCCCACACTAAAATCATCATTGGGTGTTTTATCAATGTAGCCAGATTTGGTTTGTTCCAAGTGAATGTAAGTTGTTTTAAGGCCTTAACAATTCATATTATTCTGTTATTGTATGCGTTTATAATATTGCTTAACTATCATCCCACTCAACTGGACGCTGTAAACTGAAATATCATTTTCTGAAAGTTTAGTTAACAGGTAATGCTAAGCATCATTTTCTGTTGACTATGGGGAAAAAAGTAGATTCTTTATTTCACACTACCCCAGAGAATCTTCTTTAGCACTTTCTCTGCTTTATTGCTATAGCACTGTTGCCTGGCTATGCTGGCCTATTTTGGGAAAAATAAAAAATTGCCATTACTACAAATAAATGACTATAAAGATGGTAACAGCAATTTCACAAGGAGGCAACCATTTTGGTTTCAGTCTGTTTCGTTACATGGTGTGTTGAAAATATATATATATGGTCAGTCTTGTTACAGTGAGAAACTAATGCATTTGATGTATTGTTTTTTAAAATGTCCCTTTTGTGTTCATATAACCTTTTATTTAGATTCATTGAGATGTCTCCTATGTATTTTTCTATGTATTTTTGTGACAACTATTACAGGCAATCGAGTAAATTCCTCCTTCAAACAAAACAATAAACTAAAACTTGAAGGAGGGATTTACTTATCACCTGTAATAATTGTCATAAAAACACATAGGAGGAACCTTTTATAAATAAAAGATTATATTAACACAAATGGGACATTTTACAAAGCAATACGCACACACACTGAGTGCAGCAAAAATAGCTCCCACCTAATGGTAAGACATTAGTGGCAATGGAGTCTTCATCTAGCTAATTATGTTGGAGGTAATTTTGCTGCACCCAGTGTGTGTGTGTGTGTGTGTGTGTGTGTGTGTATATATGAAGAAAAATATACAGAAAACAAACAAAAATCCTAATATGCAATTATGCTGTTTTAATGTTAATACAATGTCAACATCGGATGTTTCAGTCTAGTAGACCATCTTCAGGACATATTCATAAAACATAATTAACATTAGACTATATTCGATTCAACATGAAAAGACGATGGACATAAGAGTAAGACTAATCAAAATAGATAACTGAAATTTTTCAAGATCAGCGTTCTGTTTCAATCTGATCATAATTTCGATTTTGATTCTGTGAAGATTTTAAAATATATTCATAATAAAAATCTTAGACGGATTTATGACGCAGGCATAATATCTCTCTCACGCATGGTGAATACTAGACCCAGCTTCTTTAAAATTTCCCCTTTTCTAGCAAGATTAATGCTTGACAAACGTACATATAAATTTTAGATTAAAATAAAATTCTTTTCATTTTTCATTCAAAATACTCTATTTTAGGAATACGTTTTCACAACATTGCCCACGTGATGCCGACGTGATCATATTGAAATGGAACGCTGATCTTGAAAAATTTCAGTTATCTGTTTTGATTAGTCTTACTTTTATGTCCATCGTCTTTTCATGTTGAATTGAATATAGTCTAATGTTAATTATGTTTTATGCATATGTCCTGAAGATGGTCTACTAGGCTGAAACGTCCAACGTTGACATTATATTAACATTAAAACAGCATAATTGCATATTAGGATTTTGTTTGTTTTTCCGTATATTTTTCTTCATACTGTCGGAGCTATATCCATATATTTGCTTACACACACACACACACACACACACATATATATATATATAGTTTTAAGGTATGCTATATTTATGTGTAAAAGTTCAATATCAAGGATAGAGCATATATATATATATATATATATATTTATTATGTGTGTGTGTGTGTGTGTATATATATATATATATATATATAATGTGAACAGCAGATAATTGTGTGTGTATAATATATATATATATATGTGTGTGTGTGTGTGTGTGTGTGAACAGCATTTAATATAAGTTTCATAAAAATGTATAAGTACATTCACAGCAGCAGAAGTGTTAAACTTGTAGTACATTTTCTTGGCATTTGTATATGTTTAGCCCATTCACAGATCTGATTAAATTTAATTAGATTCTTTTATTATTCAGCTCTCTCATAAGAGTTGAATCTAATTCATTCTTACTGACTTTATCATTCTAAACTTCTGAATCCCACACCAAGTCATAGATAACAACTTTCTCTGTTAAAAGATTCAACAAAATGGCATTGACTAACCTGGAATGATAACAGTTGCAATTTTGGGTGGGCAGGCATTATTTGCAGAATGGGCTTGACACCATCATCACCTATAAGATTATTATCCAACTGTAAAACAAAATACTTGTCTCAGCATTTAACACTTATCTTTCTTTTAGTTTTAGTTCAATATTATCAGACATTTTTTCTGTGTGTTTACTGGTTATAATAGTTATCTATCAAACTTAATTTACAAAGTCTTTAAAGGAAAATTAAGGTGTCTATGTTTTGACCTTTTCTTTAACTCTGAAAACATTTCTTAAAATGAAATAATGAAAGACAATTAAATCAATATTAATCTTGAGATTGTAAAAAAGAAAAGATTTGTTAAGATGAAGAATACCAAAGTTATAATATTCTCTTATTGAAGAGAAGCAAACTTTTCAATAGCCTAAAAGACAGTTTTAGCATTTTACTCTTATTAAAATTTGTGTGATTTGTTATTTTTGTTATGATTTAGAAAATATTTAATGCTATTATAACATGAAAATCATAATTGTTTTATGAAGTTGAGTGAAAACAAATGAAATTTTTATTCTGTTTATTCACATTTACTGTTGACTTCTTTTGAAAAAGTGATTTATATTTTTCCCTTTTAATTGTGAAATATAAATAGAATTAGATATACATGAACTATCACCACAAAGTGGTGCTGAAAAGTTCTTAGTCCAACCAAAAGGGTTTCCAAAAAAATCCTCTGTTTAATCATTTAGTCAGATTTGGAGAAGTGGGTCAAGTTAAGGCCCTTTTGGCATTGCTTTGTAGTTCTCTATGATAACTGACATATTTTAAATAACAAATCTCATCTACATTCAAGTTCTTTAAATTTTTTAAAATAATACTATGAAATCATTTGTTCAAATTTTTGAATAAATAATACATAAATAGTTTCATTAATGATTCAAATTTTTAATGTAATTTGTAAAACTTTGATGCTGTTTTGTTTGAGCCTCTTCTTTATATTGACACTAAACAATTTAAAACATTTTCAACGATAACAAAATTATCTCGGTATCATGCCAAATAGTTATTTTTACTATTTATGAATAACATAAATTATTTAACAAAAAACATATTAGAATTTCTCTTTTTTTTTTCAAGATTATTTAAATCACTTGAAAAAAATTGGATCATCAAATGTGTAATTATGGCAATGGCCACAGATAAAGCATATGACTTGCAGAATATTATCATGATGTGCTTTGTGAAGTGGATTATAGATCAAATGGTCATGGCTGATGTTTGTTTTACTACTTTGATGAAGCTCATGACATACCATAATTAATGAAAAGCCTTTTTCTTTTTCCTCCCTAAGTAAACAGTCACATACTTATAAAGTTCATAATATGGGCATATGGTGGTAAGAAGTAACTGAGACACACTTTATGGGTGTGTGGAGGTGCCCTTGTTGGGATTTTCTCTTTCTAACTTTCTGGTATAAATTCATGCTTGTGAGATTTTTGATTCTTTACTGATATGAATATCAGAGGGAAATAGAAACTAAACTTACAATAAGAATTTCAAGGGCTTGATTGTTCTTGAGACCTCCAGCCAAAAGATTTCCCGCTCTTGGTCCAAATCGATTCTTGCTAAAAAAACAAAGATTATAAGTTAAAACCTTCAGCAAAACATTCCAAGCTAGTTGTGTTAGTAATTATTATAATCTTTAGTGACAGTTCAGATATTTTTCAAAGCCCATCAAACTTGCATTTATGTACTTGATTCTTTGCATTTTTTAAAATAATATTGTGAAGTCATTTGGTGTGCTTTAAAATTATGGATAATCAATATTTGCCTATATTTCTGAGATGATGTATTGCAACTATTTACATTATTTACATTAATCACACTGTTGTCCTCATCTTTAGTGTCATATTCACAATGTTTCGACTGTTGTACATTCCAGCCTTCATCAGGTGATATTTCTTGGAATTTCAAACTGAACCCTTTATTTACCCTTGTGGGTTCAGTTTAAAATTCCATAAAAATATCATCTGAAGAAAGCAAGAAAGCTGTGTGTACAACAATGTACATACTCTTTAGAAGACAAAAATGATATTGCTCATTTATTGTTGATATTCATAAAAATATTTCATAATATGTAAAAGCCATTTATATATATATATATATATATATATATATATATATATATATATATATATATATATATATAATTAATTGAAAATAATTCAATAAATAAGGGAAATTAATCTGATTAACCAAACTTACAATTTAGAAAATATTTTCTTGTAATAAAATGTGAAAATGTACATAATTAAAAAGGAAAAGATAATTTTTGCATTAAAGTCATATCACAGTAGTGTAATGGATAGCAGCTCAAATTGAGGAATCAGAGAGCCAAGTTCAAATTCCAGTCAATTCCCATTACATTCACTTACATGCTAATACCCTTGGGAAAGGTATGAATCCTCTTCTTCTTCCCCCAGCTATGGGTAAATAGCAGGACAAACTGGGTTCTTTTGCCCTTTACAAGAAAATCTTTTCTAAATTGTAATTTGGTTAATTACAGATTACTTTCCCTTATTTATTGAATTATTTTCAAATAATTACAAATTCTCTCTATCTATCTATCTATCTATATATATATATATATATATATATAGGAATGGCTTGACATTATACTTTATGACTATGTTTGATAGCTTTTAAGCAAGTAATATATAAATGTTTTCTTTAATGATGCTTACAAATTATTTTTATTGTTTGTAAAACATTGTTATTTTGTTCAAACTTCTTTTTAATATTGAAACAAAAAAATTTTAAAAATATTTTTTGAACATAACAAAAACATTAACCACTAATTATTTAATGCTAGATTATTTTATGGATGCTGTCTCAAATTTCTTACTATTTTGATTAATGAAATAAATTGGTTCACTACTTAAATAACATTGTAAAAATATAGTTTTTGTATACGTGAGGTCAAGTATCTTGAGGGTAGTGTTCACCATCAAAGAGAGGGCCAGAGACCAACAGGAATCCTCTGCAAATCCATTCCAACTGATGTCTAAGACTTTTAGACTGGGATTCTGCTACAAGAGATGAAAAAAAGGTGGAAATGTAAGATAAAATAAGAGAAACGATGGCTGGCTTGATAAGTTTAAGATAATCAGATAAAATGGCTATCATCAACAATATAAACATAAATTCATCAATATCAAGAAAAAAAAAACATTATGCTTAATAGCAAATGATTTTCTTTTCTTTAAGTCAAAATTATGGTCAGAACTATTATGATGAACAACCATTGCATTGAGTTTTTTAAGCGTTTCATCCCAAGCAAAGTGGGAAGCCACTAGCATGCAAGGGGTTACAGAGAGTTGGAGCTAGAGCAAATATGAGTGATAGAGGAAAGGATGAAGAGAAGGATAGGGGATAGATCAGGGCATCTGGAGATGTCAATTGATATTAAATTTGAATAGTTGGAGATTATAGCTATCAGGGGAACAGGAAGAAGGGAGGGAGTTCCACAGGCGAGAGCTACATTTAATAGTTTCAACAGTGAAAGGGTGTGAGCAAGATGCCAGCCTAGTAGAATGCTTAAATTCATGAAGTTTGGGAACCAGCAAAGTTACCATGTGTATTATTTTGTAAAAGACCTCTTTTGTATTCATAAAATATTTTATATAAATTCCTATATGTTTCACCTATGCATTTCTTTGGATATTTTTTGCAGTCCATTTTGTAAATTCCTGCTTCAGGTTTTAGGCTGTTATTTTTTTTTTCTATTAATTAAATCTCTTATTTTTTAAGTACTTGTAACAAATTTTATATTAAGTTTAGGTTAAAAGACAGAGAGGTATTCATTCATACATAATGCGTCTTGGGCAAGTAGAATAAGTGGAGCCAATTGTTCTCCAGCTGATATCCTCTAACCTGGAGGCTTGCCTTGGTCACAAACACATGGCCATTGGTTCCAAAAAGGGAACCTTCTGTCCTGGCCATTGGCTCACAGTTTAGAATGCCCCCTACCCAGTAATTCTATGTCATCACCACACTGGCTGTATACATAGTTATGGAACCCAGTTTACTACTAGGTGGCTGGTGACCTTACAGGTTCATCTGACCTATGACAGGTCTTATTTATAATCCTGCTGGATGTCTAGATAACCTCCTCACTGGAAAAGCCTGGTGGAGGAACCAGTTTAGTTGCTGATGACTTGACCATGCATCAAATTACATGGTACCAGTAGCACTTATAGAGTGACTCTATCTTATAGAGTGACCTGACATTAAAAAAATAATACACTTTAAAGGTTTCAACTTTTTTTTAAGGGAATGTGTTATGACATCACCCTGTCTGTCTGTTTGATCCCTACAGCTGACCACTGAATGGATCACTTCAATCGAAGTTTTGCTTTACCCCATGTTGTGTTTGGTTTCAATCACAAGGCTGATGAAGATCAAATTGTCAATGGGAATCATTGAATTGGTTTGGTCTGGGCAGAGTGAAGTCACAAGTAAAAAAATAAATTTTATAAAAGAAAATGTTTTATATAATGTTTCTTGTACAGAGCTGCTAGTACAATTATCAGTTCTTCAGGCAGAGTTATTGATACTTCCTGCTTTGAATATTTCCTGACACTTTGTCATGATTAACTATAGACAAGGCTTCTGGAACACAGCTCAAAGTTGGAGGCTTCTTCAGGCAGGAAGTCATGTGAGATCAGGTGAAGCTCTTGTCCTGCATCTGGGACAACTGTTGTGTTGGTCACTTCCACTTTCTGTTTATATGGCCCTCATCCAAAATTCAGAGTGAAGTCTGACAGGTTTTAGTAAATCCCCTAACCCTTATATCCTTTGTCATCTGACTTTGGAAAATTAATTGCATATCCAATTTTGGGGAGATCCCCCCTCCTAAGAGTAGTGATAGCAGAATATTGATCCACCTTAACTTCTTTCTTCTCATATTGGTACCTCATACCAATACTACCAAAGAGGCATGGGCAATTCCTCCATTCATTTGATATTTCACCTGAGCCCTTCACTTTGGTTGTCATTTTGACAAATTTGATTTTTAGACTGGATAGGTGAACAGGTGAGGCTTACTTATAATCATTAATTTTAATTATTGCTCAAAATTTTTATCAATGGAATTCCTCGACCCAAACCCCATTCTCTTAGTCAGACATTCACAAGGTGTCCCCATGACAGCATTCTTAGCAGTTTCGACCAGTGACACTCAGGGCTCAGCTCTTATCTAAAGAAATTTCATTTTTTTAGCCCTTTCCCCTCTTTTTGACAAGGGATATAAATCAATTCCATAACTTTGCTTTTGTTCCCAGAAAACCTTAATAATATTATCAGTTCATTTCTTATCAGCAAAATGCCTTAACCTAGCTTCACCCATAAAATCCAGAAATTTACCAGATGGCTTTCAAGTATACAAAAAATTAGAGACCATTATTTTCTTTATCTTTTTGAGTGACTGATTTCCCTCCTTGGGTTATGGTCTGTGGGAAATTCCATAACCTGCACTTTAAATAGTGATTATTTTGGCCTAGTCTTCGTAAAATCCTCTGCTGACTTGAATGTTATTACACCAACTCTCCCCATTCCACATAGGTTTAAATTATCCAGATGGCTTTTTTGGCTAGAGCTCTAAAATAATAAAGCCATTTTACTTCAAGTCAGCCCTATTCCCTTTTTTATGGTTTACTCACGGAAGAAAACAAACTTTCTGAATTTTAATAAAATCCTGCCTTGACTCTTGGTATGTTTATCAGGCTATCTCTTAACTATTCCAGTGTCTCATAGTGTCACATCTCTCTTGGTATAGCTATCAAGCTATCCTTTAACCCTTTCAATGTCTTATAGTGTCACAGTGTAACCAAAGGAAAAAATGAATAATATGTATTTGTAACAGAGTAAGTTAGGGTTGATGTAATAGTAATCTGGACTTGATATTATTTGAATGTTAAAGTAATTACCCCATTGCTATATGTATTTATAGTGTAGGAGGAATCCTTTTTTTTTATATATTGAAAATGAAATGAATTAAAACATACAACAAAAACTTGAGAAACGTGTTAACATAAATAGCAAGAATTCTTATTTTCTTTTTGTGATGTGAATTACAAAATATTGATATGGTGTGTATAAAAATGTTCTCGGTGTCTCTTTTGTTTAAAAGTCAGTGCTTATTTGGTTTGGTTCTAAAAATTTTGTTTGTGAGGATGGTGTTTGACATACTTTGTTTTTGAACTTCATGGAGTGCTGGCAAAGATGTGAGTTTCTGTACTACTACTAGTGCCTACTGCTATAGGGTACCCTATGGTGGAAGGATGATGAAATATCTTTTTTTTTATCATCACTGATGGCAATATTATTTTTAGAATGATGAAATATCATCATCATTCTAGACCATAACATGTTAATTATATATAAGTGTCATGTAAGTTTAGAGGTGTTTATATTTGAAATTTTTTTGTTTTAATCATTAAATTGTTTTATAAGCTTTAAATAATTTATGAAAAAAAATTATACATCAATATAAATTTTTAATGTTAATGGTTGTGTTAAAGAAAGATTTCTATAAATTTTCCACTAATTTTAGAAATAAAACATTTAAGAAAATTTAGAATAATGCAAAAAAATAACTTCCTACTTCAGAAGAAAACATCCAACAAAATCACAGCTCTATGGATCCATCCCTGATATTTCTACAATCTTACATGAATGCAGGATGCACTTTGCAGAACACTTCTGGTGAGCAAAACAAGAACTCACACAACACCTAGCTATGGAGCAAGACAATCTGGTAGCCCAGCAACCACCTATATTGATCAGCTATGTTATGACACAGAATGTCTCCCTAATAATCTTCCAACCTTGATGCAGGGCTGTGATGGCTGGCATGATCTAACTTGACTGAATAATAAAAAAATAAAATAAAAACTGATTGGTAAATACTGCAAAATGGAAGGAGACCTTTCTATTAACAACTGCTTTAATCTTTTTTTATTTCTAAATACAGACCTTTTTTGGAGTCTGGCTGTTAGTACTCAATAGCATTCAACAGTGCTGCTCTGATTGTAATTTTATTAATAAAGCAATTAAAATTAGAGCTGGTCTGTTTAAAGTTAAAATAATATTGACTTGTCAGATTGCTATCTCTTTGTATTAAAATTGGATTCATACTTAATAGCTTTAATAAAATATTTAAAGTTCTATATCCTCTTGGTATCACTTTAAACTGATGCATACTTTTTTCTCTATACATCTTTCTAAACTCTAACTAAACTATAATTTTGGAAAGTAAAAATTTCACTGAAATATGAAAAATTTCCAAGTTTTCATCTGAAATCAAGATTTGAACTTTAAATAAAATGGCTACAATATACAGTAAAACGGTGTCAGTTTGAAGATATGGTTTAAAAAGTGAAATATCTTTTTTTCAGCTAAAATTAACTTTTTGTAAGAAATAAAGCCACATTTTTTCTAAAAAAATAAAAAATATTTTGAAAAATATTTTTTAATGTCAAATTTTACATTTTTGTTAAATGTTTAAAAAAATGTATGCTAAAGTATGTTTTTATTATTTTACATTTTCTAAAAAGAACATTTAAGAAGCAATTCATTACTTTTATATACATTAAAATTATAGGGATTATGTTGTGTTTCTATTTTCTTGTCTATACCTGCATCCACTTTTATAGATGTAATAAAGTTGAAGCTGATATTAGTATCATGTATATTACAAACATTGAATTGTCAAATATGGAAAAAGTTTATTTAAAACCTTAATCTAGGTATATCACTAATCTCTTGTTTTTTATTATAATAAAATCATTAAAGCTTCAGTTATCATATTCCAGACTCTATCCACATGCTTTGTAGAATTGGAAGGATATATATTCAGGTTTATGATAATTCACTTGATAAAGCAATGGACACGTGAAATATGTGATACTATATGACAAAAATGTCAATACATGTCCAACTCAGTAATAGCATTAATAAGTAACAAAAAATTTCCTAATGCAAAGGTTTTCCAGAATTGTTGTAAAATAAGAATAAAACCCTCACCCTAAGGCCCTTTGCCAATTCCATAGCTCCTTTGCCATTAATTTGGCACCAGTGCAAGTCCAAAATGTGGAGCGTTTCATTCATAGCCTGAGGAGAAAAGTTTTCAATATTAAGCAGTTAACTGAAATACCAGGCTTTCTGAAATCTGTTTCTAAATCATTAATAATACTTTTGATATTTGAGCACAAACCCTTATGTCAACACTTTAAAAATGTATGCCAATTTATTCTTTAATAAGTAAATTGGTATGGTTGTTGTAGTGCCAATAATATTCTTCTTTCCTTATCAAGAAATCTAAATTACACAAGACATTTTCAGAACTGGTTTAGAATGGTAATTGAAAATACTACCAACAATCAAGTGCCCAGTTTGTTTAATTTACTGACTTTTCTATTAATACATTCTTTGATATTTTCAGTGATTAAATGTTTTTCTTATTTTGGCATCATACAGAAGCTGTACTTGAAATATGTTCTTTTTTTTTTTTATGTAAACAAATTAATTTGGTTGCCTTAATTATCACTGGATCTATTGTTTATAGAAAATACTGAATATAAATTAAGTCTGAGGTAAGAGAATAGTGTTCAGGGCTATCATGGGATTTTCAGAGTGGGCTACATTTGAAAAACCAGTTCTACTAAATTTTGAATTGACTTTATTTTTTATTAGTGTTTCAAGTTAGACCAGCTAATTTTAAGAAATAGCCCCAAAATTTGAACTGCCAGGAAAACTCAATTAGGAAAAGATGTTAGAATAATGCATAACTTATACTGGGAGCAAACTTCCTACATACAGATAGAAAATGAATTATGGTCTGATCTGGTTCCTGTAAAGGTAGAGGATAGCAGGAAGAGTCAGATAGCATTTGAACTGCTAGGAAACTCGATTTATTTGGAAAAGATGTTAGAATTATGCAGAACTTATACTGGTAGCAAACTTCCTACATACGGATAGAAAATGAATTATGGTCTGATCTGGTTCCTGTAAAGGTAGAGGATAGCAGGAAGAGTCAGATAGCATTTGAACTGCTAGGAAACTCGATTTATTTGGAAAAGATTTTAGAATAATGCAGAACTTATACTGGAAGCAAACTTCCTACATACGGATAGAAAATGAATTATGGTCTGATCTGGTTCCTGTAAAGGTAGAGGATAGCAGGAAGAGTCAGATAGCATTTGAACTGCTAGGAAACTCGATTTATTTGGAAAAGATTTTAGAATAATGCAGAACTTATACTGGAAGCAAACTTCCTACACACGGATAGAAAATGAATTATGGTCTGATCTGGTTCCTGTAAAGGTAGAGGATAGCAGGAAGAGTCAGATAGCATTTGAACTGCTAGGAAACTCGATTTATTTGGAAAAGATGTTAGAATTATGCAGAACTTATACTGGTAGCAAACTTCCTACATACGGATAGAAAATGAATTATGGTCTGATCTGGTTCCTGTAAAGGTAGAGGATAGCAGGAAGAGTCAGATAGCATTTGAACTGCTAGGAAACTCGATTTATTTGGAAAAGATTTTAGAATAATGCAGAACTTATACTGGAAGCAAACTTCCTACATACGGATAGAAAATGAATTATGGTCTGATCTGGTTCCTGTAAAGGTAGAGGATAACAGGAAGAGTCAGATAGCATTTGAGCTGCTAGGAAACTCGATTTATTTGGAAAAGATGTTAGAATAATCCAGAACTGATACTGGGAGCAAACTTCCTACATACGGATAGAAAATAAATTGAGTAGCTACACAAAAATAGAAAGGGGTATTAAACAAGGATATGTCTTTATGCCAAATTTATTCAACTATTACATCGAGGCTATCCTAAGGAAACTGGAGACTCTACCAGAATCTATTACCAGGGAGCATAATGTTAACAATATAAGATATGCAGATGATACTGTTTTGATGGCAGACAAAAAAGAAAACTACAGGACCTCCTAGACAAGGTAGTACAGGAAAGCATGAAGAAAGGACAAATCATAAACTGTAAGAAGACAGTATGTCAACAAAAAAAAAACAAATGTCAACATCGAACAAGAATTGAAAAATAACTGGGAAGTGTTTTAGTGGAGGATGGAAAATGCAATGCTGAAATCCAAACACACATTGGAATAACAAAAGATGCTTTCCAAAAGCTAAGCAAAGAAAAAACAGAAAATTTTGTGCTAAATAAAGAAAAGTGTGGTGAACTGCTATGTATGGCAATGAATGCTGGACAATCTCCTCACAGATGAAGAGAAGACTGGAGATAACAGAAATGAGGTTCTACAGAAAGATGCTGAGAATACCATTGATGGAGTAACAAAGATATCTTAAGGAAAATAGAAACAAAAAAGACATACTTAGAATCAGAAAGAGAAATCTGAAATTCCTTGGACACAATGAGGAAAGAAGGCTTGGAAAATTTGACACTCACAGGACATACTGATGATAAAAGGATGGAGGTAAAGGCAGTGGGCCAACTACCTGACAAGCTTATGTGAATGGACAGTGAAACTAGTGAGGGGATGGAAAAAAATAAATATTACTAAGAGTTACAAGGGAGACTAATTTGTGGATAGCCATAATCACGCATGTCCTAAGGGAATGTGCCACAGAGAACAAAAAGTTGCCCTCAAAATCAAATAATGAGAAAATCAAAATGTAGCAGGGCTGGGTTTTTAAAAAAATCTGGCAACAATGGGTTATCATATCCTTTCACTGTTGTAAATGATGTGGGAAACCATAAATGCATATATAATGATTGGTAGCTACAAAAGAATTAGATCTATATCTGATCTTATTAGAGATCAGTGCTAAAGTGAAAGAAAGAAATTATAATGACTTCAACTTTTAATATTAGTCAACCAACTAAGGTGTAGTTGTTTACAATCTAGAGCAGAATACCACAAATGCTATTAAAGACAAGTTAATGACCTCGTATACATATACAACAGGAACTAATCTAATTGGTTGCTGTCTCATGTCCTATTTCTTTCCCTGTTATTTATGTTTATACCATTCTGACTGTCATCATTTAGTCATTTACATCGGGAGGTTATCATAACAGTGAATATCATTTCACTGAAAACTGCTTACACCGAAACTGCTAAATAGAAGCTTCACTTTGTCAAAATTCAAAACTTAAAAAATTAAAGGGAAATAACTGTTATATCTAAATAATGATTTTTTTTTTAAATTATGCATCATTTAAAAATTTTATTCTTTATTTACAATAATGAATACTTTTTCCTCATCAATTCATCACTAAAGTTTTCATTCATGTAATAATGTTGCTTAATGAATATTAAGCAAAATTATTACATGAATGGTTTTATTCCAGGAGTAAAAACAAAAAAAAAAAATGTCAGATATACAAAGCCATTTAAATGACATATAATCAAAATACATATGTAAATAAATATTTTAAAAAAAATCTTCCATAATTCATATTACTCTCTTTATTTATATTTGAATCACATTTTTTTATATATTTTACTTTTGTTGCTTCCAACAAAAAACAATCAATTTTCAGGCTTTAACTGATTTCAACATTACATAATCCTCTTAAACAAACCAACTCACTTGTTGTCAATCTTTCATTATCACAAATAGGCAACAATCAAATTAATGAATATAATTTTTAAATGACACATAATTTAAGAAAAGCAACATTCAGGCATAACAGTTATTTTGCTTTAATTTTCTAAGTTTGGATTTTTCGGTGAAGTGAACCATTTGACAAAGTGAAGATTGTGAAACCAGTTTTCAGACAAATGACATTCACTGTTATGAACTGAACCCATTTACATCATAGATCTTTCTATTCAACTTTGAGGATGCCTTCAAAACCTCAAAGGAATAAGCAGCAACTTCCACATTACTGAACAGTGGCCATGATTCAGTGCTAAAATTTTCCTGTTAGAAAATAAATAACTTATCTCAATGTAAAATAAAGAAAAAAAAATTATGGCTGAAGTTCTATGAATTTATTATTAAATGTTTTTTTAATCATTTCACCCAAAGCAAAGTGATAAAGCCACTAAGACAAAAACAGTTACTGACTGAAAGAAAGTGAGAAAATGTTATTGAGGAGAGATGACAATAAAAGAACAGGATTCAAAAGGTCAGAAAATGACAACTGACATTGCATTTGGATTTTCTGACAATCGTAGTTGACAGAAAAACAAGAAGCCAGAAGAGTGTTCTTTAGGTGAGAAGTGTGAGAGAAGAAACTATTAAAATAGAACTTATAGTTGCATCTAAAAATTTCAACTGTAAAATGATGAGACCTAACTGCCAATCTAGTATTACACTTAAATTCATGAAATCGAGATACCAAAGAGGAAAGCTCAATAGAGAACAATTGCCATGAAAATATTTTTAGAAAAGGCACAAGAAAGCTATGTTACAGCAGTGGAAAAGTTGAGATACCAGAGATTGTTTTAACATTGTAGATTCTTTGGATTTTGTCAAGAATCTCTAGATACATAGAAGCACCAGACCAGATATAGCAACAATATTCAATGCAGACAGACAGATGAATAATAGACTTATAAAGGTGTAAGATAGAAATTATTGAATAGTATAATTTAATAATGTATTTTAAAGGTAAAAAATAAAAACCTATGAAGTACAAATGCAAAACCAAAAAGAGAATTATAAACTAAAATAGATATTTGCTAAGAATGACATCCAAACAAATACTAAAGAGCTGTTACATAATGCCACACACAAAATAGTACTGAAAAGGCTTGTTTTACCAGACAACTGCCAAGGTAGTGACCTCCTTCAGAGGAAATCTTGTTGTAACTGAGGTCAAGTGTTGTGAGAAAGAAGTTTGATTTAAGGGTCAGTACCAGTGGAGTAATGTCTTCATTTTCTAAAGAGTTACCTACAATAAAGAAAGAGTAAATACTTCAGAGAGCATTTCTCTAGTGAGTTCCAAGGCATGAGAAACAGCAAGAGAGACAGAAAAAGTGGCAGATCAAATTAAGTAAAAGCTACTTACGAGCTAGGAAGAGACTGGTGAGAGTTGGAGTAACATCCAGCAAAATGGAGACGGCAGACACACCTTCCATTTGGATATTATTATGGGACAGGTTCTGGGCAGCAAGAAAGACTGGCATAAAAAACATCACCAGGAAACATGACAATATTACAACTCAGATATGCACACAAAATTCAAATATAAAAATACATTCATACACACGCATAAACACACAAAGTATTAGAGTGTTCAGAAAGTAATTAACATATTTCAAGGTGTAAGTTACAAGTTAAACAATAAAAGCAGAACCAAACATGACTTGTAGAAAATGGAATATAGAAATATTTCATCTTTACAGTGTATATCATTCATAGTGCATTTCAGAGTTTAATTAGAAAAACTTGCAATGAAGAAATTTGGGTTCCTCACGTCCTTTAACTTAAGAGCCAAACACAACATTCCACCATCTGCATCTGTCTTTTAACCAGGAATGCTAACCTTTCATTTTTATATTGCATTGTTACAGGTGATGAAAAATGGGTTTTGCATGTTGACAGAAAACAAAGATGACAGTGTCTATCATAAAATAAGGAAGCAGTGCCAAAACCAAAACCAGGATTCCATCCACAGAATTCCTTGCTTTGTGTCTAGCGGAATGTGATAAGTGTTGTCTATTATGAGCTAAACGGAACATAGATGAACCCTCAGTGCAGACATTGATTGTCAGCAACTTGATGTAATTAATGAAGTATTACATAGAAAAGTGTCCTATCTTGGTAAGCAGAAAAGGTGTTATTCTCCAGTATGACAATGCAAAACAAACCCAAGAAAAAATGAAATTGTTAGGATGAGAGGTTCTTGTCTACATCCTCCATACTCATTAGATTTAGCACCTTTCATCATTTTTTTCATCTGTTTCAATCACAAGAACATTTCATAAATGGCAGAGCATTCACAAACAAAAAAGAAGTTGAAAACAGTCTTTCAACCTTTTCTTCAGGAAAAAAAAACAGATTTCTTTAAATGTAAAATCAAAAATGTAATTTCCTATTGAGCTACAGTTATTGAAAATGAAGGTGATTACATTTTTGATAAATAATATTTAAATTTAACTTAAATTTCTTCTTGTAGTCTCTCTACTGAACATCTTAATATTTTTTGTTCAAAAACTTTATAAGTTAGTTTCTTGAAATATTATGTATAATTATTTACAGATTTAACCAAAAATAGAATTCTGTTTTTAAGGAAATTTAAATTTACTTTGTAATAAACAGAATTGTTAAAAACATGCACAATATACTCTAGTGAAAGAAAATAAATATTAATTATGCTGTATATCTAGGTACCTCCAAAGAGTCACTAAAGAATCAACATACAAAGTTTTATCGTCAAAATCTTATTAAGAGGAAAGACTGAAGGATTTTGGATTATTAAATTATATTTTTTAATCCTTTTTAGAACCTTTGAAATTTTGGTTAAAAATATTGTTTCTCTGCTGCTGACAGGGGACCATAAATAAGTATAGGAAAATTGAGCATCTTTTTGTGGGGAAAAACTCATTGATTTGGAAATTCTTGCAAAAATGAGGTAATTGTTGGATTTTAATGAAACTTTCAGGACCTATTCACAAATGAATTAAATTATTTTTAAAATGTTTTTTAGAAAATCTTGGTAAAAATAATTTCTTTACATTTGTTACCCCACACTTATTTAATTTAATGAAATTGTAAGAAATTCTTATTTGTAGCACTTAATGTTTATATTATTTATAGACAAGTCCTAGGAGAATTTAAATCATCAAATTTTTTTGATCAAACAAGATCCCAGTTACAGAAAATCTGCTCTGAATTGTAAAATAAGAAAATACAATAAAACTAAGATATTATTTAATTAGCAATGTTTTTAATTGCTTTTACGAATAAAATATATTATAGACACTATTGAGAAAAGAGAAGACTGGGGGACACAATGGATGAAAAAATTGTGATAATGACAATAAAGATGAGAACAAAATAATGAAATTTTTTATCTAGAAATTTAGTTAGATAAGACAATGTTGTAAAATACATGTATTTTAAAGGTAATTTACTTACCAAACTGAATATTTTTGAATTATTTTTTAACATTTCAACCAATGACACAATGTTCTCTGAGCAAATGTTATTATCACTGAGATCCAGGATTTCAATTGTTGTGTTTTGCTGCAACAGTTTGAATAATTTATTCAAGAAATCATTAAAATAAAACACAATTACATTTTTTTTTCTTATTTAGAAAATGTCTAACTTCTTTTTTCCACATCATACTTATTATAAAACGCAAAATGTGTGTGTGTGTGTGTGTGTGTCTGTACGTTTATATATTGGATCGGATTTCCTACATTTTTCAACCGATTTCAACAAAACTTCACAGGACTACATAAAATTACCTTGTGGTGGTTCTGACAGCGCCAAAAATTGGAAAAACACAATTGTTTTTGCACGAAATCAATTTGAAAACACGATTAAGAGACATTGCAAAAATGAAAGGGGGACAACTCGTATCGAGTTATACTTATTATAAAACCCAAGTTGTGTGTGTGTGTGTGTGTGTGTTCGTTTATATATGGGATGGGATTTCCTACATTTTTCAACAGATTTCAACATGACTTCACTTTTTTTTTGGCCGGTAGTGTTTCTTATTTTCTTACACACTTTTTTCTTTATTTTTACATTCAGAATGCTTTAGAAATTCCATTTACAAGACAATTGTTTATAATAAAATTCTATTCAATCGGTAGACTCAACGATTGAAAATAATGTTTTTGTTTGAGTTTGGGTTTGACCAATTCGTAAAAAAAAAAAAAATAATTAAGACATGCGTGTCCGTCAACCTTAAACAATAATCTTGGTCAATTTTATTTTTCAGTCTTTATGATGGCCGATACTTGATCTATCTTTTACTGTTACATCCCCGGGCAACGCCGGGCTCTCCTGCTAGTTTATGATAAAAATGCAAGATTATTCAAACAAGTCTTATTTCACTTAATATTTATTAAGACTAAAAAGACTTGTGAAAATTTCAGTTTTACGATTTGAATTTTCTTTTTCAAGTTAATGATTGAATAAGTTCATGGTGAGTTCTATGACAATAAAATATTCATAGAAATTCCCTTATATCATCGTTAAATATTTGAGCTGATCATCTTTAACAAAATATTGCAATAACAAACACAAATATGAATGCAGGTATATTATTTTAATAAGTAAGGAGGTATAAATGAAAAGATTTGAAATTGACAACTTTTTCACATTTCACTGAAACAGCCGTTAAACACTTCTATCTTCTCTTCTTTCTTTCACTGAAACCAAGTAGTGTCTTTGATATGTGTTTTGTTTTTCCATGCAATCAAAACAGGATAGTCCATTATTTATGAGGTATTAGCAGGAAACATTAAACCCTTCTTTCTTCTTTTCTTTCATTTTCTCACTGAATAGTGTCTTTTTACCCTCTTTCCACATGATCCAAATGGAATAGTCCATTATTTATGAGGTATTGGTAGGGCATAATGGTCATGCAAACTAACAAATGGAGGGAAAAGCAAAATTATAATAGCATTAGAACTATTTCTGTCCCATAATAGTTGTTGCATCCAGTCAATGGAATATAGATGCAAATGTAACACCTAATATGGGACAGAGGTAGTATAAAATATAACATATTTCTGTGAAATATCAAAAACTGTACAAGGGGATTCTGAAAAGTTTTCAGCCCAATCTGACCAAATTACCAAACAGAATTTTTTTTGAAGAGGAAAGTGCGACTGTTTTATGTTCCTGTTTTATAGCCAGTGGATGGGGTTCTTTTGAAGTTTACTTTTCTAAACAGAATTCACTTTGACCAAAGGGAAATGGAAGAGTAAATGAGTATATAGGGGATTTTTGAAAACCAATTGACAACAGAACCAGACACAAAGCTGCTGGTCTATATTAACAGTCACAGTTGGGATCAAGTGAATCACCTCTGGTCTGCCCTTGGTAGGAGACAGATTGTCCCTCATATAGTTCCAATGCTGCCCATTTGTACTGCCAGCTACAGGTGAGAAGGTTGGTGAGAGAGGAAGTGCTGAGCTAGTTAGATTGACATAGCAGAAGTTGTCCCAAGTGTCACTGACATACCCACCCAGACTGAACAAGCAAAACCCTAAATAAAAACACTTATTTTCTAACATTGAAACAGAGATTGTGTTAACATTTCTTGATGTGGCACAAGTTCTCATCTTTGTTACCTTGTGAACATGCAGTGGGCCTTTCCCAGTTTTTCACATCAACAAGAATCATAGCGCAACATGGGGTAATCATTAGCAGGTTGGTGGAAAGTGGGGTGATGGTCATTTTTACATGTCAACAGACAGATAGACCACCAGTTCTGACCTTTACAGCCAAGATACCTTGCTACATACACAGGGTTGAATCACCCTCATTCTTTACATATTCCTTTGGTAAGAAGAATGTTCTACTCAGAATGCTTTTTCCAAAGAACTGCTACTTTGTTACATGGATGCTTCCCTGAGCACTTAACCTCTTCAAGTCTAGGATCAATTATTATCTATCCCACCATATTGTCATTAATCTTTTTCCTACTTCTTTCTCTTCTGTTCATCTCACACACCTCATTCAGTAACCTGCTACTTTGAGTGGCTCTTGGGCCTTGTATTTAGTGAACTTTGGGAAAAAAACAGCCCAAGAAAACAATATTTAAATATATATGTTTAAATGTCTAGAAGTTATTTATCAGTATATTACAGAATGTATTTGAAATATTTAAATTCATAACCATTGAATTTGTTAACCTGTTAAGACCAGAAATGCCCAAACATACCTGCAAGTTTCAGTCTGTGAGTGCCCAAATGTACCCTCAATTGGGTAGCATTGTATTTCAGTACACAGCATTAATACCTGTCATCTGATCAACTGAAGGCTCCAGAAATCTACAACTCTTACAAAGTTGTAAATTTCCAAAACTGTACCTCATAACCAATAGTATCAAGGTATCATTTAAAAAAGAAATCAATTTGCTTTCATATAAAATGAACTTGTAATACTTGATTTTCATTATTTTTTGAGCTTACAGCCATATCCCATTGAAACAACAGTTCTTGTATGATCACTGAAGTTAAGCAATGTCAAGCCGGGTCAGTACCTAGATGGGTGGCTACTTGGGAATAACAGATGCCACAGGCTTGGATGACAGCTTGGAATTGGTAGCTTAAGAACCAAATTCCAATTCCAGTCATGATTATTACATTCACTTACATGCAAATACCCTTGGAAAAGGTATGAACCCACCTATTCTCCCCCTCCAGCTATGGGTTAAGACTTATATTAGTAAATCATTATCTCAAAAAAATTCTCACAATCTAAAAAAATATTTTCTAGCTTTAAATAACCTGCAAAAGGTTGATAAGCTGTGAAGGGATGAATAAAAATAATGTTTTCTTTTTAGATATATCTTTTAAATTGTGTTAAAGAAAAAAAAAAGAAAAATGAAAAGAAAATGGATAGTGGTGTCAATGGTAAAACTATCCTTTTGACAATGGTTTTTTTTTGCAGGCAGAAAGGTCCAAATTTGTCAAAAATTTATTATTTTGATTTATTTTTAACTACTATTTTAAATGTTAATGTCTTGCTTGTATTTAAGTTTTTATAAGAATAATAAAAAATATCTAAGATCATTTTGCTCTAGTTAAATCAGAATGTTTATTTTTCTAAATTAATTTATGACAACAATCTTCACCATATTTATTTTCTACATGCTTATCTCTATCACTTGTACTATACATGCAAATACACCTAAAGTAATGAAATCACAGCCAACCTTGAGAGCTTCAATAAGGAGCATCAGTTTTTCTTTACTCAGATAATGTTGCTGCATAACAAAATTTCTGTCTTTCAGGTGCTCACATATATAACCAACAGGAGGGAGTTCTATTGGAAAAGAAAAGCACATAGGGTAATAAGATAAGGTTTACAAGAATGTCCGTTTTTGTACATTTTATTTTTGCAATAATATTTAAAAAGAAATATTTCCTTTTTAAATTGTGCTACTTCAAGAAAATATTGTACAGTCAATGGTTTTTAATATGTACAAATATGTTCAAATATGTACCATGGTGATGTGAAAAATAAATGATGCATTTAAAGGAGTAAAGTAAAAAAATGAACATATTTTCACATTGGGAATTAACAAATTTGCCAGATTTTCTATTTTTTTTTAAACTATAAAAGTCTCAAATATCAACGTTAGTTGTTTTTTTCAGTCTCTTAAGTATGTGATACATGTTTGGGAAATCATGCTTCTTTCAATTAATTTTCCTGCAATAGGTTACTCTTTCTTTCTGTAGTAGACTGGTTGCCAACCAAGGCTAAAGAACCTAGTCTGCCCTGCTATTCAACTCATAGCTGGAGGGAGAAGAGATGGATTCATACATTTCTCAAGGGTATTTACACATGAGTAAATATAATAAATCAGATTGGAATTCAAACTCAGCTCTCTGATTTCTCATTCCAAGCCATTATCCATTACACCAGAACACACATCACATTCTTACTAACTGCAAAATCTGATAACAAGTTCAGTCACTTTCCTATCACTGTAATGTAGCTTACTTTTCTATATAAATATTTTCATGCTAATTGTTCTGATGAGCTTTCCTCTTTTATACCGTAACTTTACAAATTTAAATGCAGTACTAGATTGACAGTTAGGTCTCATTATTTTGCAGTTAAAATAGCTGTATGTAACCATTTTGCAGTTAAAATAGCTGTATGTAACCATAAGTTATATGCTAACAGTTTCTTCTCTCATGCTTCTTGCTTCTGGAATTTTCTTCTTCTTAATTTCCAATCAACTTTGATCTTTAAAAATTTAAATAAAATGTCAATCATTATCTTCTTAATTCCTGTTCTTTTATTGTCCTCTCTCTCTCCTTTAATGTTTTCTTTTTTCATATTCTCTCACACTCAGTAACCCCTTGTTTTCTTAATGGCATTATTACTTTGCTTGAAATGTTTAAATAAAAAGAAAAAAACAATTAAATGTACAATACATACTTACTGATGACTCAATTAATTAAAAAATGCTCTTTTATGCAAATTTCTAATCAGCTAATGATGTGGAAGCAATTTAATAGATATAGGCATTTAAACAGGGTTATGGCAACCTGCTGAATTTCGTTTCATGCATTAGTGATTTAAATGATTTTGAATGCAGCATGGTTGTTGGTGCCAGACAGGTGAGTCCAAGTATTTAAAAAAACTGCTGATCTACTAGCATTGTCTTTCAGATATACAAAGAATAGTTAGAAAAAGAAAAAAAAAATCTAGTAAGCAGCAATTCTGTGGGTGGAAATCATTTTGGAGGATAATGGTCTATCAAGCTGAGAGACAACAGTAATTCAAATAACCACTCGCAGAGGTACAGAAGAGAATCTCTGAATGCACAACACATTACTACAGCAGCAAAAGACCACACCAGGTGCAAGTCTTGTAAGATAAGAACAAGAAACTGTGGTTACAATTTGCTAAGGATTACAAAAATTGAACAACAGAAGATTGGGAAAATGTTGCCTGGTCTGAGGAGTCTTGATTTCTGCTAGAAAATTCAGATGGTAGAGCTAGAATTTGATAGGGGTTGTCCAGATTGAGTGAGAGGTGAATGTATTATTCCAATGTCTTATTTCAAACACAGTCAAATTGTGTGTGTATACTAAATGGCACAAGCACAACATAGACATATGTATCTACATTGCATACATACCTCCAAAGTCACATGCAGACTGTGTATGACATACAGAGAATCAGCTCTTCTTTTATAATATAGATTATTCCTCTTGTTTGCAAGTTCCCATATAATCACCAAAATTAAGCAACATCAAGCCTGGTCAGTACCTAAATGAGTGACCACTTGGGAATACCAGATCCTATAAATTTGGATGTGTGGGTATTGTAATGGATAATGGCTTGGAATTGTTTATCGGAGAGTCAAGTTCCAATTCCCATTAGGTTCATTATATTTGCTTATGTGCAAATACTCTTGGGAAGGGTATATATCCACTTCTTCCCTCCAGCTATGGGTTAATTAATCATACTTGTATCACTAAATCAGTATTATTTCAAAAAAAATAAATGAATAATTTTTACAATCTAAATATATTTTCTGGTATTATTCCCAAATTTCTTTACTGAGTTAATTTTTATCAATATTACAGTATATTCTTATAACTTTTGAGTAGGAATTTCTTGTAAGATCATTAATTTTTGTTGGGCACTTTTGTCGTAATCAAGACAATAGAAGTTGGCAAAGGTAACAAATTTTTCTATGACTGTCATAGCGTAGAAACTGTTCTTGATCTCTATAAAACAAAGAAAGATATTTACTGGAGAACATCAACTTTAATATTAGATTATATATGTATAGCATCCAGCATAGATGAAAATTCACTTGCATTGTTTCATGAGATGAGCGATCACAGATGCTCCCAAAGTAAAACACTTACAGATTAAATGTTAACTCTGATTTTAGGAATTTTTACTATTAAGTTGAAATGAATCCAAGAAGTTAACTGAAAATTTTTGTGCATTTTCTAAATTTTTGTCTTATAAATAGAAAGAAAAATGATATATACATTTAAAATAGAGAGAGAAAAATATGTGAATGTTAGTCCCATTTCATGTATATTTTCTATATAAAAAATAAATCTGGCAAAATAAAATTATTTGATGGAGGTCAACTCTGAAATCCAATTTAACTCAATGTTGCAACTATTCTGATATCTGAGGAGGATACTTGAACTTTATGCAACTATCTATAATGACAAACAAAAATGCCAGAGAAAATAAATGCATAAATAACTTCATGAAATCAACAAGAAAGATTGTTTTTAAATAAATAAATCTTTAACCTTCATGCTTGACAAAAAAAAAACACATGTCAAAAGGATGGTTTTTCTCTTAACACTGCTATTATTTTAACTACTTTCACTCCTTGGCAATGTTTATTGCTTTAAAAAGCAATTATTAGAATTGTAATAAAACCTAATCATATGTAAGTGAATTTATACATTTTCTTTTTTCTTGAGAATTGACAACAAAAATAATAAACACTATCTATTTATTAGATTGTTTATTTACACTATTTATTATGTTGTTTATTGGAATGGCTGGAAAAATATTGTGAACATGAAGGTTAAAGATTGTCAAAAATCCCACTATAGGATATTCACTTACTGGCTCTCTCACAGAGCTGCCTGTAAAATTTCTCTCCAGAAGGGTCTGCTTGTGGGGAATAGACTTTCTTTTCTATAATGAAAATAGCAACATCAAATTAAAAGTAAAATGGCAATGTAACTATTTTCATGTACAATGATCTATTTTTGATCTATGTGATTGATATTCACCACTTAGAACTTTTCAACACTCCCTTATGCTTTCATATTGATAGATTGGTTTAACAGCATATCAACTTGTCATGGGTCATTTAATGTCAAAATTTCATTTTCTTGGCAGCTTCAAAGTAATAAAAATAAGATATATTTTATTCTGCTTTCATAATTGAATACATGATAGATGATACTCAACTTTTGTGTATATACATGTTTGTGTGGACATAATTACAAGAGTTGATATGTGTGTTTTATGCTGAAGTTTTGTTGAAGTTATAATTTAGAATACAGTTTGATTTCTTTAAGAAATTGAAGAATATTATATGGATTAATGTAATGAAAGAGTTCTTTCACGTTGGTTGTTTGGTTTAGTGGCATATCAACCTCTATGGGTCATTTAATGCCAAAATCTAAATATTTTGAATGCAATTGTATGCCTTCAGTTACAGATAAAATGTATTGCGGGTCATTTTACTATAAAATGTATTGTTGATCATTTTACTATATAAAAATATATTGCTAGTATTTTTACTATAAAAATGTATTTTTAAATTTTCTTAGCATTTGGGGGTTCACTATTATCCCATAGCTGGGGTCCTAGCAAGTGCTACCATCTCAGTTCAGGGTGTACCTGGGAACAACTGCAATTAAGAGGTGGCTTAAAACCTCTGGATATAGTTTATCATCAGGACTATATATTTTCATATTAAAATTGTATAGATGGAGATAGCTAAGTGTTTGTTTGTATTATTCTTACTTTTATAGCTACACTAAAATGTATTATTATAACAACTGATATAACAGGAATAAGATTTTGAACATATGTAAATGTTCACAGAACCAAAGGAAAATCTTTATATGACGTCTGTTTTTAAGAATAAATTATCTTAAAAACAAGTCTTAATTGTTTTTTTTGGAGGGAGTATTACAAACACAAACTAGTAATAAATCTTATTTATCCAAGTATCTTAAGCCAAAGAATAAGCTGGAGAATAGTATAATCAATTATTAAGAATTCTTCTGACTCAACTTCCAAGAAGAGAAACAGCAGGTGACTATCAGTTGATCAATTAAATTGCTTTGAATTCTTGCCAGTAGAACATCATGTAACAATTCTTATATTTTCATTACTATTCACAAAGTGTTTATTCCTTGATTGTTTCTTTAATGATGTTATGGTTGAATAATGGTAAGATTAAAATAGGAACAGAAGATATAAGATTTATTTGTATAAATGTGCAGAAGTTAGGACTAAATTGAGACAAGCATCAGTATAGAATTCGTGAACTGAAGAAGATAAATTCCAAAAAAGAAAGTCCAGAGTATCTATCTATCTATCTATCTCCCTTCCTTCCTTCCTTACCTTCCTCCCTCCCTCCCTTCTGCATTTCAACTTTGGCAATCACAATACTTGTGTCTGGCCAACATTAAAAGAAAAAGATCCCACTGACTTATATAGACATATTGGCTGCCCACAATCATAATGCACTGTTCTGCTTTTTGTCTATAAAATTCTTTCACTTATTTACTCAGTGTTCCTGCTGGCAACAAGGTAAATAACATTTCTCCTTTTATTCAACCATTCAAACTAGAAAGAAAAATAAAAGTATGCTACAAAACAATAAAAATAGAGGAAAATAAAAGTGTATTATAAAACAATAAGATACATAGCTTTGTTTTTTGTTGAGGCAGGACTGGGATTAATCTTGTAGAAAGTAAGGTGGGTCATGCCTGACAATGATTTGTCACAATGATTTGAAGCAGGGTTTTACAAGGCTGGATGCTCTTTCTGATGCCCAACTCAGATACTCACAGAAGTCCAACTACACCTAGTGTTTTTTTGAGACAACATCTCTAGGAAGGTTGCACTTCAAGACTTGAGACCCCAATTTAGCCTTTTATATATATATATATATATATATATATATATATATATATATATATATATATATATATATATATATATATATTGGCTGTTGAAGGAAAGTAAAAGTGTAATATAAAACAATAAATTGAGGAAAATAAAATTTTTATACAATAAATTGGAAAATAAAACAATAAATGGAGGAAAATAAAAGTGTATTATGAAATAATAAATTGGAAGATAAAAGTGTAATATAAAACAATAGATGGAAGAAAATAAAAATGCATTGTGAAACAATAAATAGGAAAATAAGTGTAATATAAAACAAGAAGATAATGAAAAAAATGTCAAGGCATAGAGGATGATAAAACAGATGAATACTTACCATGAAAAGATTGAAGAAGGTCAATATCAAAATTTTTTGAGTCAAGTAAATAATCAAGGATGTCAACTGGTTTGCTAACTTGTTTAATTTCTTTCTTTTCTTTTTCAAACACAAGCTGCAACAATGGTGACATTTCCCCCACTCGTGTTGTTAAAGTGTTATCAGCAGTTACTGAAATTAGTGAGAAAAGAACAACTAAAGATAATAGCTAACATTTCATCTCATTACAATTACTGAAGATGATAACATAGAACAAGGATAAAAAGAGAGATAATTTGAACATAACTCAAAATGCAAATCAGCAAGTTGTAGTGTGTAGTACATGCTTTATCAGGAAATACAAGAATTGGTTTTAATATCAATCAGGAACATTTGATCTTGGAGGACTAGATCTCAATATTTATTGGGTTCACCCAAAGAAATATCAAAGATTTTACTAAGTGTCACATCAAAACATCTTGTAGATCAACACTCTTTTAGCTAAGTGCCTCAGAGGGTTGACCTAGAAGATAATCTCATAGCTACCAAGTTCAGAACTGGGCCTCAACAATGTTGGTGGGTGTACAAACATAAACAGGAAGTGAACACAGCTGAACTTTGGATATACACATACAAAACAACTGCATGACAGGAAGTTACAAGGGGGGAAGAGAGAATCTCTCACATCTCAGATCAAATATTCAAAGAGAGTCCCTGAAAAACCACATACTCTCCAAGGTCGACATTAATTTGATATAGTCCATAAACAAATAACAATTATTTTACATTTGAAAAATTTAGTCATGTATTTTTATCAGGCATTACTAACATAATGGAGACAAGGTAGAGTAATGGATAGTGGCTTGGATTGAGGAATCAGGGAGCTGAGTTCAAATTCCAGTCGAGTTCATTGTATTCACTTACAAGCTAATAACCTGGGGAAAGGTATGAATCAATCTCTTCTCCCTCAGCTATGGGTAAATAGCAGGACAGACTGGGTCCTATAGTCTTGGGTGGGAACCAGTCTAGGAGAAGGACAACTCTGAATTCAAAACTTAAGGAAGGTCAATTGGGGACCTTCTCTTTCCACTTCCAGCAGGACACACTGGATCCTATAAATTTGGCTGTGGAGATTTCATAAACAAAATAAACTATGAAATCTCCACAAATATTCTTAAATGTTAATATTTGGTAACAGAAGCTATTGGTTTATACCAATGGCTTCCCATACTTAATACTTCTCAAATTCACTCTCGCATGGTCATGTGTGACGTCATGAGCTGCAGTGCGATTTTTGCTTCCAGCATCTTATATGCACGTGTTTATCGCTGCTTAGAAATCATCCATGTAAACAGAAACAAACTATCATCACATTATTGTTCGTGTATTCCTTAATATATTGTACAGTAATTGTCATCTTTGATAATGGCTTATGTAAGCCGAAAGCTTAGATTGGATTAAAAAATATGTATCAATATTGTGATTTTCTTTCTTCGTTTAATGATAATGTTATTAAGCTTATCAGACGTTATGAAAAGAATTTACATAAAATAAATAGACAACACTTGTCTATATTATTTAATGAAACATGTATGAATGAAAAATGCTGCCTAAATACACACAATATGTATGTATATATATATATATATATATATATATATATATATATATATATATATTGATTCATATTTTGAAATATTTTATGAGCCTTTTTGTTTTTGTGCTGAATATAAAATAATTATGGTATTGGAAGAGCTTAAATGTATTTTTAATGTATTTCTCCTCTTCATGTAAATACTGAAGGCTACTATTTCTGAGTGCTATTAAATAGAATCTGATAGTTATTCTGGATTTTATTTTGTTGATATAGTGAGATTAAAAATTTATGAGATTCTTTTTATTATTTTATTTCTGATGGGCACTTTGTTTTAGGCTATTGACACTGTGGTGTAATATGATATCTTGGAAAGGTAAAGTATTATTTGTTTCCAGTTCATAAGAAAATTATGTTTGACTTTTATGTTTGACTTTGTTTAGTTTGTATACAAGCTCAGGTAAATTAGGTTTGCAGGTATATATTAATAGAGTGTTATCAATATATCGGAAATATGTTGTTAGGGTATCTTGAAATGGACCAGATTCAAGGAATTCTAAGAAAAACTATGCCAAATCCCACTTAGAGGCAACACCATTAATAATCCAAATTTTTCATTATAAAGACACAAATGGATTTCTATTTAATCCTGTGTTAGTAACATAGGGGTGTTCTGTAACCCACAAATTTTTAAGGTACTCGTAATTCCTATTTGGCGACTTCTTTTGCTCATATCCCACTATTCTCCTGACTCAGTGAAAATGTGTATCATGCAGTGTGGTGCAGTTGTCATGGCAGGCAAATGCCAAGGGATTATCCATTTTTAGAAATGGATAAAGGTTGATTAATGCAGGATTAAGATCACCCAGAATTTGTAACTCTCAATATGCCAAAAATTTGTGTTGCAGTAATCAAGGTTAAAGGAAAATATTTTGATGAGAGCAAAATTTAATCATAAAATGATTTTTTCTTTTTGTCATAATAAAATTTCTAATAAAGAAATCATGTCTCACTTTTTTTAACCATGTATAATAATTTTCGCTTATTTAAGTACAAAACAACTATTTTTGGGGGCCAATTTAAAAAATTACCAGTGGTGGCCTCAATCTTTTGAACTATACTGTGTGTGTGTGTATATATATATATATATATATATATATATATATATATATATATATATATATATATATAAACATACACACACACACAGAGACATATATATATATATATATATATATATATATATATATCTTACTGGCAGAAGGCTATCATTTTAATTTTGTTTTGAGTGGCTGGGCTGTGAGCACATAAGTGACTTAAACAGCTCCCTTCACTTTTACAGCCTTTCCTGTATATAAGGCAGACAAAAGATTTATGTATTGTGTTAGAGTTTATTTGGTCCTTATGAGTAAGGACATTATAAACTCTGCAAATATATATATATATATATATATATATATATGAATAAATAATAGGAAAGAACAGTCAGATTTATAATCCAGTGTTCTTTAGCATTTATTTTTAAAAAACAGTGCTCAATACACAGTAGAGCATAATATTATAATTATTTTTTAAAAATATGTATCCATTGTGACACAGAATTTACTAATTTCAAGTTTAATTTAAGATTTAAGTTCCAGTTTCAAAACATAGTAATTTCTGTGTCTCGATGGATACATATTTTTAAAAACATAATTATAATACATTTTTTTTTTTTTTAACATACAACGTGTGTTAGCACGTGCGATACCCTGACTTCATCAGCCGCCGACCATATGTAAATTAATAATAAGTTGTTTTAATTTTTTCAAAATAGGTAATGAATTATAAAACCAACAAAAGAATGCCATTTGGACATTATACAGGGAAAAGTAAATAAAGAGGATTTATATATCAAGCCCAGAGTCTTTAAATAGAGAAATGTATAATTGAGATAAAGCATGAGATGGGGTGAGGGTGGGGGTTCAACAAGTCAAGCTAAGCATTTAAACATTGTATTTCTTTGCATATTCCATTTTATCTCAAATATAATACAAACTTTTGAAAGTTGATAGAATAAAAAAAATTGAAATATGTTTATAAAACATATACTCACACTCTTTATCTATGACAACCTTGATGATTTTCTTGAATTTAAATGGCCTCTCCAAAAGGCCTTTAGGTTCCTCTTGATTAGGCATGCTTTCTTTTTGTAATGCAGATTCTGAATTTGACATCTCATTCAAAGGAAGATCTGCAATGTCTTCATCCATTTTCTTCTTTGGTTAGTACCTCCTAATATCCAGCAAAATCTATCAACCCTGAAAATGCTGCAGGCCTGTTCAAGTTTTACATCCAACTAAATAATTTGAAGAAAGCAATGTTATCAAGATGCATTATGGATAGAAGTGTTTTGATAGAATATCAATCATTACAGTAGTTGGCTGGGTAGATCAAACAACACACCACCATTAATAGTATTCTATGAACACTTCCAAATTTCTCTGAAATGAGAAAATATTCAAAATTTGATATAAATACTAGTTAAGAAATAAAAACCCAATGAGATGTTGACCTTTTACTGAGAAAATGTTGCACATTAAGAAACTAAATGTCAATTGGTTATTTTATAAATTAAAAATATGCATAAGACATATGTTGTCTGTAGCATAAAAAGCTTAGAAACCATCACTTAAATTTTACAACCACATTTATTTAAGCATTTTTTAGAAAATTTTCACTTTCAGTTTTAAGCAATGTTTAACCTTGGTCCCTGCAAAAAAAAAAAAGAGGATGATTATTCCTTTGACACTGTTATTACACTTTTAACTTTCTTGACAATGTTTATTGTCTTTAAAAAGTGGTGATTAGAATTCTAATACAAACCAAACATATGAAAATGTATTTATAGATTTTCTTTATTCTTGAGAATTGACAAGATATTAAACACTATTTATTAGAGCGAATAAAAAACTTGTTTTCATGGTTACCTTATAAAATGATAAATATTAAATATGGCATTATAGTTGGTTTACATATTTTGATAATTTTTTAATTTTTTATAAATTTTTGAATAAAAAATTTATTTTCGAATTTATTTCTTTATAAAATGGTAAATAAATGTTTATAAAAGGTAATAATATTGCATTGTACTTGTTTCACATATTCTTATAATCTTGTAACATTGCCAAGGGAGTCAAAGTGCATACAGTAATAGCAGTGTCAAGGGAATAACTGTTTTTTGTTTTTTTTGTGGGCACGAAGGTTAAACATTGCCCAATTTTATATCATGAATATACAATAACATTTGACAGTGGTAACATTATTTTTAAGTTAAAAGAACCAAATTTATGAAAGTCCATACTAATTTAAATAACAAAAATAACTGAATTGTCTAAAGAAAATTACTTTATTTCTTATCTTCATAAAGTTGGACATAATCAAACACAAGTTCTTTCTAATATCAAATGCTAAATTGTTCTTGATGCAAAAAAATCTAAAAAAAAAAAGTTTATGCATTTTCTATTTATATGACAATTAATCAGTGTTTTTTGATTGATTTAAATATTTAAAATTAATAA